GCTGAGGTACTAATTACTTTTTCCCTTAGTCTTCACTGAGAAGTGCTCCCGCCACACTGCCCAAGCTGCCACAGGCAAACACAGGAACTGGGAGATCAAGAAAGTGCCCACTCTAGCAGACCAGGTTTGAGATCGTCTAAGGAACATTAGGAAAAGACCATGGGGCCTGATGAGGTGCATCTGCTTCTCCTGAGAAACCGGTAATGAAATGGTTAAACCACTACCTATCATATTTCTGAAGTTGTGGCAGTCTGGTGAGGTTCCCACTGCCTGGAAAAGTGGAAACATAAGCCTCATTTTTAAAAAGAGAGCTGAAAAGGGAGATGTTGGGAACTACAGGCCAGCCTGACCTTTGTGCCCAGCAAGATCATAGAGCAGATCATCCTGGAAACTGGGCTGAGGAAACTGGAAAATAAGGAGGTGATTTGTGACAGTCAACAAGGCTTCACTAAAGGCAAATAGTGTGTGACCAATTTAGCTGCCTTCTACAGTGAGGTTACAGCATAAAGGAAGAGTGACATCAGCTACCTGGACTTGTGCAAGGAATTTGACATTGTCTCATATATGGCATCCCTGCCTCTAAACTGGGGAGAGGTGGATTAGATCAACAGACCCCATGTACAGACTGGGGGGGAATGGATTGAGAGCAGCCCTGAGGAGAAGGACTTGAGAGGTGTTTGTGGATGAAACGCTCAATTTGAGCTGGCAGCTTGTAGCCTGGAAAGCCAAATACATCCTGGACTGCCTCAAAGGCAGCATGGCCAGCAGGTTGAGGGAGGTGATTCTGTCCCTCTACTCCACTGTGATGAGATACCATGTGGAGTGCTGCATCCAGGTCTGGATGCAGCACTCCACATGCTCCTGACATACGCAGGACATGGACCTGCTGGAGTGAGTCCAGAGAAGCTATGGAGATGGTCAGAGAATGGAAGCATGTCTCCTATGAAGACAGGCTGAGAGAGTCAGGGTTGTTCATCCTGAAGAATAAGAGGCTCTGCAAGACCTTCTAGTAGCTCTTCACTCCTAAAGGAGGACTACAACAAACCTGCAGAAGAACTTTTTACAAGCAGTTGTAGTGATGGGACACAGGAGAATGGCTTCAAACTGAAAAAGGGCATATTTAGATAAGATTTTGACTGTGAATGAGATGAGGTGCTGGAATAGAACAGGTTGCCCAGAGAGGTTGTGGATGCCCCTTCCCTGGCAGTGTTCAGAGCCAGGTTGGATGGGGCTAGGAGCATCCTGGTCTAGTGGAAGATGTGGTTGAATGATTTAAATGATCTTTAAGAGCTTTTCCAACCCAAGCAATTCTGTTATTCTACTCTGCAAAGTGAACAGTCTGACTGTTCACTTTGCAGAGTAATTTTAGATGTAGCCTCTGAAAAATATTTGTCTAAGTTTCTTAGTTATCTGGTGGAACTGCTGCATTAATTAGCAGATACATGCTGCTAATGGTCAATTAAGTACCTAACATGGGCTGACTCTTATCGTTAGATTCTGCTTCTTGTCTTGCCCCTGCAAATCCAGCACACAGGGATTTGAGTAAATCACTGAAGGACATTCTTTGCTGATTATCAGTAGTCTCTGAATATGGTCTGGATGGATTTGGGAAAACATCTTGGGGTATTTTATCCCCAGTATTCAAGACTCTTTGGAAATCAGCATGACTGTTCATACACAATAACAGACCCTTTCATATTTTGTGCTTGTTTTGGCTTTGCGAGAGGGGCAAAGCTGTTTTTTCCAGAACTTCTCAGCTTTTCAGCATGTCACTTGAAATCACAGTATCCCAGCATTAGTTTTTGGTATGGAGAGTGCTGTTGAAGACAAAGTATTTTCGAGAAAATGGATTTTTGGTGGTATGAGTTAGCTTTCCCTTTATTTTGAAAGCACACTTATTGTGGATATAGAAACAATGAGATTTTATTAAAATTTTACTCCCCGTCTTGAATTTTGATGGTAGGCTGCAAAAGACTTATGGAAAAAGGTCAACACATTTGTGTCTTGTAAATTATTATTGCATCCATGTGCATCCAAGAGTAAAGTAATTGAGCAGCAGCATGTTAATAGGAGAAACATTTCCTTGCTGTTAGGATACAACTTCTTAATTCTTCCCTTAGGAAATTAGGTTTTACAAATATTTACAAATACTCTGTTTTACTCGGTTGGTGTTAAGGAAATCAAACATTAAAACTTCAAATGCATTTTTAATAATATATTTTAGAAATGCATCAGTAATGTATAAAAATAATGATACAGTATATGTATATTTTCGTGGGGGCTTATTATTTTTAAGTTGTTCATGTTTTTATAGAATGGTTTAAAAATATTGAAAAGCAGTTTAAGCCTATTATTTGCTCCTTATAAAAGTAGTTTTTCCCTCTCTTTAGTGTCTTAAATTTTTCTTGTTTTACTGGTTACTTTAATGACTTTTACCAATGGAGAGTGTTCTCTGTGTGTAGGGATTTTTGTTTTCAGTTTTAGTGGGGTTTTTTTTGAGAAAACCTGAAATTTTAAAACTATGCTCTTAGCAAGTGTTTGCATGTTATTTACCTATTCCTGGATCTTGGTAATGCTGCTGCAATGAAGATATTTTGCATAGTTAAACAAAGAGTGAGTTCTGGAGTATGGCAGTGCAAGCATGGCTTAAATAGACATTAGGCAAGGAAGCAGCGATGGCATAGGATGACCAAGGAGAAATTATTTTCAAAGATATAACAGAGTACTGAACTGCAGATGTCCCTAGTATCAGTGTTGCTGGCATAAAATATTTTTAATGCCCATTTGGGGAGTTTTTTCATTTGTGTCTTAACTTTTATGTTCTATTTGAAGAGTGTTTATGAATAGATTAACTGACATTTTCCATTGTATAATATTTTTTATAGTTGTAAATTGCCCCAGATGTTTGTGTGCCAGTGGTCTGTATCATACTGAATTTCAATGGTAATCTTAAAATTGAGTCATTTTTAAAGAATGTGTACTTTTCTCTCCCCAATTCACATATTCTTGCAGCTTTTAAAGTATTCACCAAATGGTAGACTTACCACTTTCAGTGACATTCAGTCAAGATGTTTGATTTGATGGCTGTCTTTATAGCTTCTGAGCATATCTTTCATGTTCCAGCTCAGCAGAGCTGCATTTGCAGTGCAGATCCTGCTCTCAGCTTTTGAAAGGAGAGGGTGAGGGAATTGCTGTTGTGGCCAGCTTCTGCAGACAGGGAAAGGGACAGACACCTAACGGTTTAGATGTGGGTAGGAGGGTGCAGGAATGTAGCTTAGCATCAAAGGATTTGAGGTTAAAGAGGGATTAAAATACAGAACCTTAAGAAAGGACACTAAAGCCTGAAGCAGAAGCAGATGTTGACAGAAAAAAATGGGCAGGGAAGAAAAGGCAGCAGAGGGTAGGTAGATGGTGAGAATAGGAAAATCAGCAGGTTAGACAAGACAGAAGATGTATGAGAGGATCTTGCTACAGCAGGGACTTGATGGAGAAGGATGTTAGGTGTGTGAATTAAATGGTCATGGATTTGCAGTAACCAGGAGGAAGACCAGCAAGGAAACTGAGAGCAAGAAGCTGAAACTAGGAAGGGAGGAAAAGAAAGCAGGGAGCAAGGAGGGTCAGCAGAAATGTATTTGAGGACTTGGATACATTCATCTGCATGTTGGAGCTGACATTTATTCCCTCCTGAACATTTCTCTATTGCTAAGCAAATAACTCTAAAACAAGAAAAAAAAGTGTGTTGTGTTTGGTATGTGGCAGGTCAGCCCACACAGGAGACTGTTGATTTTTGGTTACTGTTGAGTCCATTACTGAAACTTGGGTAGCTCTGTACCATAGACTTGAGCTTACTGCCAGCACTGCAGGCAGGTGTCAGGGTAGTTTGTGAGTTTGTTGTTGTTCTTGTAATTTTGAAGTTTATAGAGGCACAAGGAAGGATCCTAAAAATAAAACTGAAACATCATTAATGTGATTTAATGTGTTTTCCAAATCTGCAGAACTGCAGTAGCTAATGAAACCACAAACTGCCTCATGCACTTATGCATATGATAGTAATATGCTGTTTAAAAATAAACATGGGCATATGATCATGTAGATGGTAAGCTATTAAAGGTAGTATGAGTTATAGAGAATGTTGCAACTTGTATTTCATAATTTGCATCTAAGAATTTGTAGAGAAAGAATAAAAAAAATCTCTGCACATAAAGGTATCTTCTTCTCCCTTGCATGGTCTCTTTGGACTTCTATTAGATCACTGCTCTTACTAGAACACAGGCATCTAACAATAGTGTTATAGAGATCTGTTCTATAAAGTAAGATATTGAAGATATATTGCCAAAAGTACCCACCTTGTCCTGATAGACTTCCAGACCACTGTAATTCGTGGTCTTTTTCTTGAGGTACAGAGCATATAAGTTTGTCCCAAGTGAAAGAGGATTGCAGCTTTGTACCTGCAGTTTGTACTATTTGCTGTATTTGTGTGGCTGTTCCCTCTGGCACTCTATTTCCTGCTCCTGTGCCTCTCCCTCTTGTACAGTACCTGTTGTCACAACATTGATCTCTGCAGATTCTAGAGCGTGGTTGACTGTTCTGTCCTTAACTATAGCTGAGTGCCCATTTTGTGGAGTATTCCCTCTCGTGTCATCATTAGCTGTAGTCCTGTGTGTTTACTATGGAGATGGTGGGGAGGAGGAGGGCTGTGAATGTGATGCTTTGAGGTCCATTCTTGGACTGAGCAAAGGTAAAAATAGACAGCGTGCACAACCAATTCTAAGGTGCAATTCATGAAAAAGAAGAGGTCCAAATAAATGCATTGTTTTATATTAATACACTATATTGTTTTCAAATTGATATATTGATATATTGATTTGAACCATAGCAAAAGTTTTGTATTTGCTTCATCAAATGATTGCACTTTAAAATTCATGCATGCAGAAATAATCATTCGTACATATTTCTCTGTTTGAGAGATTACACATTTCTTTCTATTCATATTCTTCCAGGTGACTTGGATTATTACTGGCTGGATCCTGCCACGTGGCACAGCAGGGAGACGTCCCCTATTAGCTCGGTAAGAAATAGAAAAATAGGGATTCATAAGTATAAATTAAAATGTTTTCTAATTATTTCAGTTCAGCATAGATATTTGATTGTAAAAAATATTCTACACAAATCACATGAAAATTTGTTTTAGACTAACAAGGAAATGGAAATCAGAAAGAAAGTTTTATCAAAATGCATATTTGTAAAATTGCCTGAATTTTAACTTGACTTTAATTCCTTTATAAACATGGCACTTAATTTCACTATGAACCAAAAAAGAAAAGCAGTTATGAATGTGATGCTGCTCTGGGAAAGATTAGATTTTTTAAGACTTGGAGTTGGAAAGCATCATTTTGATTTTATTATATAATGAACCCTCATACAGTAGACCTGCGTACCATGTCTTATTATAAAGAACAGAATTTCTGAATGTGCTTTTCAGAGCTGTGAAATTGAAAAATAAATATTTAATTTTATTATCTAAGATGTTTTTAAAATGTTTAATTGTTTTGAAGTTTGAACTGGATTATAGTTCTATCTGTAGACTTAATGCAGAGATTTTCTTACAAGAGGCATAAATGTTTACTGTAGCCGGGGTCCAACTGCTATACTCATAGAAAATTCAGGTGCACTATGTAACACATCTGAAGGATGATTGTGTCAACTGTGACATGATGATACAGTAATTTTATTGGTTTATACATGTGCATGTAAATCCTGGAGGATGGTCACACTTTTTAAATTCCAATTCAATTTAATTGCTTGTCTTTTAACAGCATCCCGTAACGTGGCAGCCTTCCAAAGAGGGAGACCGCTTAATTGGGCGTGTTATTCTTAACAAGAGAACAACCATGCCCAAAGAATCAGGTGCATTACTGGGGCTAAAAGTAAGTATTACATGATTTATGTGCTAAATGAAAAAAGTGCCGCTGACCTTAGACTTACACATTAAATCAGAGGACTTTCCAATCATATGTTTTTTTTGACAAAAAATGTAATCCTCTCTTTTCCTAAATTTTGAAAGTTATACAGATAAATTATGACTATAAATACATTTACTCCTTCTGTACAGTCTTCAGTCACCCATGACAAAGGAGCTGAACCATTTTCATCAAAAAGGGTACCTTTATTTAGCTTCCTGTCTGCAAGACATGTAACTACACATGGCATTAATTGAGTCCTGCCTTTTCTAGCTCTGCTGTTTGCAATTTAGTCAAGTAATTAATCTTATAATCCACATACATAAATGTATCTGGATGCAAATTCGTACAAGGTCAGTTCTTAAAAGCCACACAGCCATTTGAAAACAGAAATTTTGTAGAAAGAAACCAAATATTTACACAAAAATCCTCTTAAATCATAGTAGAGGTTATATTAAATGTAATTCCAGTTAATCTAGTACCCCAGAATTGATATATTGGCAACATTGTCCAATTGATTTAAATCCCTGATTTACATTTTTAGCAGACTTTTAGGTTCATGTGTATAAATTGCCAGAACACTTAAAAGAGAGTTCTGTTTCTGAAGCTAGCGGGGAATACAGTGTACCGGTTCAAGGATTTCTCTCTCTGTGTATATTTTTAAATCTATGGGGCAACAAAGATGACTGATGGAATTTAATTTGGGTGCCTTCCCCTTTCCACTGAGAACAACAGAGAGAATGCAAGATCTGAAATATTCCCACCTTGGACTGAGATAATGTGGCATGGTAATACAAAAGATGAAAACAACTTCACTCTACTAAATGTTGAGTAGTCTATAGCACAAAGCTCATCTTTGCTGCCAGCAAACAATTTAATTTGAATATGTTAGAAAAAAAGGCTGGGCCAAGTAGGAAATGTAGATTGTAGAGTTGTTTCTCTTTGATTTTTCAAATCAAATGTAGGTTGTGGAGTTGTTTCTCTTTGATTTTTCAAGTTTCAGTTGTATGTAATATGGTCTAAGGCCCTCACTGATAAATTTTACACACTATCATGTGACAATATCGTTGGCAGATAGGCTTCTGGATACTTTTTTGGTATTAAAGCTCCTGCTAATTGTTGTGATTGCAACCTGAGGAACTAATACCTAATGAACCATCATCCTGCTCTTTCATTTTATTATAAAACTACTCTGGGATCTTCCTGACGAAAAATAAACCAGAACAAAAAAACCCTCACCTGACTGGAGAGAGTAAGATAGTTAAAGAGATACCAAGTCAGCAAGACTACATTTTCTTTGTATTTTATTTAAAATCTGGCCCTCTTGAGCGCACGTGTTTTTTTTCTGATCCTCATCTCTGTATCCTGTGGTCATCTTCAAAAACAGATCTTCAGTTTAGTTTCTCTTCTGTTCTACTAAAGCCAGAAGTTGCTGGTTTGTCCTGTCGTGTTCTTGGATGAGAGTGCCTATGTTTTAGCATCATCAGCATTCTTGTGAACTTGTTGCCCATATTTAATGGTAGTGTATTTGCTAAGTTTTCAATTGATGTGCCAGCTGCATTTTGGGATTTCATACGCTTGAAATGATGCACACTTGCAATTTAAATTTGAGTACATGACGGACAATTATTTGTAAAAAGTGCATTTGCCTGGTTATTTATTGAGAAGTGTTCTTTCTGCAACAAATGTAGGTACTTAGCAAACTGCATAAGATTGATTCATCAAACACAGTAAAAGGAATATTAATTTTATTCTGTGTCAGCTTTACTTCTTTTTGTCTTTAAGCCTCTCTAAAACTCAAATTGACAGTAGGTTTGCCTATGAACATTTCAGGTGTAATTTAAAAAATAATGTGAAAACTGATTAGTTTTCATACAAACTTATTTGTGCTCTATGTGACATCTGCTTGGTGGCTTGGAGACTCACAAATTTGTGATTAACTAGGTTGTTGGAGGAAAAATGACAGAATTAGGACGACTCGGTGCCTTCATTACCAAAGTGAAGAAAGGTAGCTTGGCTGATGTGGTGGGGCATCTCAGAGCAGGTAAATCAATCAGTTGCATATGAAATATACTGTCTTTTAGTAATGGCCTATTGCATGCAACCTTTCATTTATATAAACATTTTCCATGTGTTATGGTAATATTTTTTAAATATAGAACAATACTGTAATGTTAGTATGAAATGCCATGCATTTGTAATTTATTATGAACATTAATTGCTTGGATGTATGAGCAAAACAAAAGACACTCCTGAGGAATGCTGGTAGGACACTGAGTGACACTGGTAGATTATTGTTTGCTAGGTCAGGAGCTGCTTATTACATGCCACAGAAGCAATGCAAACTTTTTTTCTTTAACTGATTGTGGCAAACAAAATTCACATCACTGAAGGATGACACACTGCATACACAGTGGATTTTATTAGTGTTCCTTTCGGTGTTAACTGTTACAAATGAAAATGGAAAAGAAGCCAAAAAAAATGGTCCTAAAATATTTCATTTCTATTAGATGTATATATAGCACGTACAAATAAATAACTGTGCTAATGGCACTTTTCATGCTTCTAAAGGCAGTGAGAATTATGCACAGCATTTGGTTTTCATAGTCACTTCTTAATGGTTTATATTTTTACTATAGCTCTAAGCGACTACTTTCCAAATGTTGTCTTAGCAAACCAAAGTACCTATGTAGTGCCTTAATAACCCAGAAGCTCCAATGCCAATGTGGATGGCTTCAGGATAATTGCGTGAAGCAGATAGTAATAAGGAACCAGAAAGGATGATGAGTCTCTAACAATATTCTACTTTTTTTTGGCATTTTTAGTTCTTTCTTTCTTACCAAGCCAGCATCAACTGTTATAGTTGTTTATAGATTTTAAATGCAGATTATAGTTATATGAAATAAATTTGTCTCCACTAATCTTAAACCATTTGGGCTGAAATCCTAATTTTCTATTTCAGGTCTATGTTTTTTTTGGGGGGGGCTTTTTAAATGAAAGCTATTTTTCTAGTTTTCAAGTTTTAGAGCCATAATTATTTCCCAGAAAAAATATATTGTTTTGCATGTTTCCGATGAGTTAAAGTCTGTTCGTCCTATTGCATGGGACTAGAGCAAAAGGCAAAAAGGCACGGATGAATCCTTGCAGTTAGAAAAAACACTTTTTTCCTTATAAAAAACATCCAAAATTTGGGTAGTTGATAAAACTTGGAGTAATTGTACAAACTTCAATAATTTTAATAATTGCAAAAAGGAAGTCTTGCACGAGAAACAGAACATGCCTGTGCAAGAGTAAGCACTGGGAGTCAACCAGCTAAAAACCACCTTGGCAGGAAAGTGTCTGAAGGTTTCAGTACAGCTCTTTCATGATTTTAAATTATTTTTATGTTACTTGAGAATACAGATTTCATTCTTTGTGAAAGAATATGAAAGTGAGATAAACTTCTCTTTAAATTCAAGGGGATGAAGTTCTAGAATGGAATGGTAAACCCTTGCCTGGAGCTACAAATGAAGAAGTTTACAACATTATTTTAGAATCAAAATCAGAACCTCAAGTTGAAATCATTGTTTCAAGGCCTATTGGGTAAGGCTAAAGACTTGCTTCTTTAGCATAGTTATTGCTTCTGTTAACAGAAAACTTAAAGGGATTATTTGTGAGTTAATTATTTTTTATTGCTTAAAAATGGGATACAATTCTCCTTCTGTTACTGACATTCTGCATAGTCTGTTTTCTTCGCTACCATTTGTACCTTTGCAGTGGCATATAAGCATGAATATTGTTTTCTGTGTGGTCAAAGTACTATAAAGGCTTTTTCCAAGTGGATTAGGTACACTGTGCTTGACAAACATTTGGTTTTCAGGCTTTCAGTCTCCCAGATCAGAGTATAAATGTCTTCGTGAGTGGAGGGAAGCATTGCAGGACTGTAGTAAGCCAATACTAGTAGGATTTTAAACAGGCCTTCTTTAAAAAGCTAAAAAAAAGAAACACAAAACTCATAATTAAAAAAGACTGTATTTACCCTTAATTTTTTGTTGTTGAAGTCAAACATGGAAGCAAAAGATTCAATCAAAAATTAGCATAAATGTGTTATGTTTATAATCTCTATTTTTTAAATTATGAACCGAGGTTCAGAGTTTTGTGACAACAATTCTAATAGTCTCAGTTTCCCCGAATACACCTTAGAAGGAAAATAATATCTGTTCAAATTGATAAAATTAGGGGGATTGGCTCTGCATTAGTGATATCAGGAATGTTTTGAGCTAGGTCTTACAAAATTGAATATGAATAATTAATTGTAAATTCACATTTACCTTGTGAAGCAGTCACATGATTTACAATAAGAAGTGATTCTTTTAAAATTGCTATTTTCATCTTAATTATGATTTTTGCTTGTCTCAAACATGATATTTTTTAGTATTAGAAACAAAAAACAATTCAGTTTCTTTCTGACTGAAATATCCTTTTATCTTTTGATTATTGATTCTGTCTGTGCTATGAGAGTGTAGCTGTATTTTGCAAATAAATGTTGCCTTTTTAATGGAAATCTCTATTAAAAGTACTTAAAAAATTGACATTAATAGTAATTCTACCTATCAGTTTGACCTTCTAATGGAAAATGAAAATCTGATGCAATAATAGTGGCTGTTAAATGCTATAATTACCATTCCCAGCTGAAGACTCTGGGAAAGTAGAAGCTTTATTTTGCATTTTTTGAGATAAATTAGGAGATACTCTTAAAAGAAAATTGCAAATTCAGTTGTGCAGCATTGTTATTAAAAATAATACGCCTTAAGTAGATTTTAGGAAGTCTAGCTTTTATATTTAAATCAGCAAAAAAGAAATATGTTGATACTGGAAATGACTTGAATGCCACATTTCAGTTGAAGAAAGCATGGAAATGTATTTGTACAACTGTAGAACTGATGTAAAAGGAAAGAGCTAGATTAGCATTTTAAACAATAGACTAGACATGTTTATTGCTATCAATATTGCAAATTTTGCGTGCCCTTAAACTCCTAAGATAACTTTGGTATTAAACCAAATATATTCTTTAGTTTACAAATTTGATAGATCTATTAGTTTAGAAAAATTAAGTACAAGGTGACTGCATTCCGGTGCCACATTCCTGAAGGAAAACTGAAGAATTATCACCCTTTTTTTGAAGTTTGTTGAAAATCAAAGAATGTTTGTGAATCTGAACAGTGGATTTTACATTAGAACAGTGCAACCAGAAATAGGACCAATAAAATGGAAAGCTTTTCTTTGGATGACCCATACATATATTTTCATACGTAATATGTAGTCGAAAGTAGATCACACTAGATTTTGCTTTTGTTTTGAGATAAATGGAGTCTTGGCATGGAGTTTTTTTGCATATTAGAACAACATTTTTCTTGTAGAGTTATGTCTCTATAGATTTTTAATATTTTTGTTCTTTTGCTTGAGGATCAGGTTGTTTTTTGGGGATTTTATGAGAACAAATAAATATCTCTAGAGAACAGAACTTTAAAATTTAGACAGACCCCTTCTATCCTGCAGTAATGAGTTAAAGTCCAGTTGTTTTATGTTAGATTGGGATTTACCTGTCTGTCATCTGAAAATAGCCAAAAATTTCAGACATTGTACAACAGAGAAAATCCTAATAGTAGTTATCAAAAGAAAGAGCATGCTGCACAGAATTTTCTTTTTTCCCTTTTCATATTTCTTCTTAATAATTATGATTTATGTAATTGTGTTGCATAATGGAAAATGAATTGCTTGATTAACAAATTACTTTGATTTTGTCCCTAGCTCCACTTTGTCTTGTTTTCCAAACTGTGTGATGGTTTCAGATTCATGACAGGGAATTTTACTTCATCCCATCCAACACATCTAGTTTGTCAAAGTTTGGTGGGTACTTCTAGGTGCTGACTAAGCAAAATTTAAGTTGCTTGATACAGCATTAAATGATAATCCATTACAGCAAAAAATTCTTGTGAGGAAATAAGTTCCCAAAAGGCTTGAAAGTGGTGTTTCATCTAGATAATTGAAGTGTTTTCATCTCTCAGTATTAATAATGCAAATAATGTACCAGCACTTTTAATGGTCTTGATTTAAAAATTCCTAGCATATTAGGTCTAAAAAGCCCAAACATGACACAGTTTGCCTTAAGTGAATAATGGAAGGACTGTAAGTCCACAAATTAGACTGCCCACAAATTAGACTGCCAGTTACAAAACTGCGGTCTAAACAATTTGTTCAGTCTTGTAAATTTGGATTTCTCTCTCTGCCAGCAAATGTAATTTTAAGTAATGGATAATTGTAGGATGTTTATTAGAGAAAAATGTGAAGCACATAACACTATTAGCAGCTAAAGGCATAACAACAATAAACAGTATAACCGCAATAGTACCGGGGAAACTCCATAGAAACTAATTGACACTAATTCTAATGGCTGCAACACAAGGTAGATAAGAAACCTATAAAAAGTAGAATTAATGGGTTGGCTATCTCAGTATGAGGAGAAGAATTACCTATGAATATGCATACAATGTGAGAGGTGGTTAACGTAGGACAGTACAGAAAGTCCTCTGGCAGTATACTTTTCAGAGAAGAAGCGTGGCATGGTAACTAACTCACCATCTCTTGTGTGCTCTATGGGATAGTGCAGGTAAAACAAATGTTTTTTTCATTTGTCTCTGTTTTCTTTGTCAGATGCTAGCTATCTTTGCTTAGATTTCCACAGATAATGCTGCCAAAAGTGTTGTTTCTCTGATGTGATTCAGTTCCTCTGTGCAGGGTTGGTTACTGTGGTCTAGGTCCTGGCAAGGAGGTTGAACCTCTGTCATAAACCAGGCAGTGCTGAACTCCAGAGCTGCCCAAGTAATTAGTGCAAACTGCAGATTGATCGACAGGTTCTGATGGCAAGGAATGGTTTTGGAAATAGCAGGATGATAATCGGGGAGAGGTACTCAGAAACTCTTTAGAAGCTGTCTGTGGTGAAGAATGTGATACATCTCTTCCTAGAACATCTAAAAAAGTGTGGGTTACAAACACATTTGAATTTGGTTCTTCCTTAGTGAGCAACCTCTTAACTATATCCCTCAGAGAAATTATGGCTGTTCCTGTGCAAAATAGTGATTCTCACAAACCATATAGCTGCACAGAGGAGTTTCAACCTCAGGTACAGTTTTGTTAAATTTACATAGTCGTTGAGGCATGAAAGGCTCAGACATAAGATAACAATATGTAATATCATGTACGACCACACAAGGTAGAGATAGAAATACAGAGTTTGAAGTTGGCACCTCTTTGCTGGAGGTGTGTGTGACACTACTTTTCTCAAGTTCATATTGCTCCAAAAGGGGAGTAAAATTTTGTTACTGTATTAGATAAGCAGTTGTGCAACTTTTCGCTTTATTTTTCTTTGACTAGTCTAATTTTGAATATTTTAAGTAATGAGCTACTATTTCTTCTAAAGAGTTTTTTTTGTAAATCATATATCAGAATATTTTCTGCAGTGCAAAATTAAAAGCAGGCTAGATAAGACTAGTTTTCTTGCATGAAAAGTTTTAGATTATAATTTCCTTTTAGAATGTTCATTCTCTAATTAAAATGCTAACATTTAATCCTCTTTTAAACTATGTGGATCTGTTTCTCATGTTGATTTATTATTAAATTTTTCTATATTGGTTGTAACAGTGTGACTGTGCCTTAGCAGAAATTTGAATCAGTTATTAAGTTATTATTAATGTGTAATTAATTTTTGAAGATTATTTTTAGCCTTTTTTTCCCTACTGTATTGTTGACAATACAAGAAAAAAAAATCCAAACAGAATTAGTTTTAGTGTCTTTCTTTAATCACACCAGGACTATAGAACTTGGCACTGTGGCTGGCACTTTCCATGTTGAAACAGTCCTTGCACATGTGGACCTTTGTTTAGACATGCTAAAAGTGATGGTATTACAAACAGTGCTATACTGCAGATGGGAGTGTTCATATTCTAGCACAAGAAAATATTGCAAATTTAACATTGTATTGAACAGGAAAATCTGTTTGATTATGGTAAGTAAATACTTCAGACTGGTGAGAAATGCCCTGGAAAGTCTGACCTGAAAAAGAGAAAATGTCAAGAGGAAGAAGACTGCACAGCAGCCCTGCTGTGCCACAGGTCATTAATCTGTTCACGTGTTTGTAGAGTAGTACTGTGCCATGTCAAGAATGACTAATTCAGCTATAATTCCATGAGTTTGAGGAAACCACATTATTCTTGACTCATGAAGTCAAGACAGGGAGAAGCACGTTCTTGTTTAGTGATGTGAGGTTTAAGCTGATTTGAGACATTAAAGCAGAGCTGAAATAGTCTATTTTAAAACTCAGGCACCACAAGTTTAAATTTCAGGACACGAAAAGTGAGTTTAAGGCTCAGTGATTGGGCATTGTTGCATTCTTTTTCTGATACAAGTGTCTGTTTCTTTTTCATAAGTGACTTTTATATACCTAGGAGTCTTAGTTTTATTGAGTTCCAAGTTAGAAAGATTTCTGTGTTTCACTGAGCAGACTGCCTGAATAGCTTTAAAATTCTCAACTACAGACTTAAAATCTTGTAAATGTTCTTCAGAAATGTTATTACAGTTCCAATTTTGGATTAGTCTATGTGGATGAAAATACATTCAAGTAATTCACTGAAGAGTTTTGTTTTCATTTCCCTGCTCTGCTGCTTTGTTAAGATTTGTGCAGTACTAGATGATTGTTGCTCTTGTAATGTATTTTCAATGATGGCTGAGAATAGAAAGAGCCAGGAGCTAGCATCATCCAGATTTTGATGGAAGAACAAATTTATTAATGAGAAAACACTGATAGATGCGTGTGGATTTAATCAGTTTATCTTACTTATATCTGTATATGTGTTGGATATGTATGTGTTGAAAAATGTCCATACCCAGTTGTAATATGGTTTCATTTTCTTTTATCCTTTGGAGAAATGCATTATTCACTTGTTTGTTTAACATTACTAATGATCTTTGTTTTCCTTTTTTATTATTGTAAGACATTTTCATCAGTTTCATTCTCTGAACTCCTTGAGACGTTTATATAAATATTACTAGTGAGTTAATCTTTGTCTTGTTTTTTTGATTTTTTGTTCTTCCAAAAAATAATTGAACAACCATAGCTGTAATTCCTTTTGGCAAAGGAAGTACAGCTATGTACTGTATATTTTTCTCTTCCTATAATTTTTCTTTGTTTATTGTTCCAGTTGTAAAAGTATCCAGTAGTCCATCCACAATGTTAACATTGTGGTACTCATATTGCTCATATTGTTTAGTTCCTTAACTTGAATTGTGTAGTTTGTGTTAGTGTGATTTTCATGAATGGTAGTGGAAAGTATGTCTTTAGATATTTCCTCTTTCTTTCCTTGTAGCCTGTTAAAACAAAAACAGATCCATGTTTCTGAAAAACTGTCCAAGTGATGTATCTCTCACAGCCAAAAGTAGTCTGTGTTGTTTCTAATTACTATGTGTTCACATTTTAGTGATATTCCACGGATTCCTGAGACTTCCCACCCCCCATTAGAGTCTAGTGAGTACACACCTTGTTCTTTTCTTTAAACATGATCTTGTAACCCAGCAAAACTATTTCAGCTGTGACATTTCTGGAAGATGATCTGTGGAAATTGCATTGGCTCTGAGGTTTTTGTGTGACAAAATTCAATGGGTTTTGGCCTTGTGTGTTAAATTTGAAGCAATATGGATTTTATTAAACATATACAGATTTCAAATGCTAGCAGAACTCTTATTTTTTTCATTCTGTATCTTGTGTTGTTACTACCAAAATAATAATTTACTTCCCCTAACTTAAGAGAGAAAACAGATATAAGGGACTGCCAAAGGTACAAATGGTGTCAGGATATCACCTCCTGCACCAAGCAGAGTAAGTCCAGAGTTGTTTCTCTTTTTTTTTAAAAAAGAAAACCTTGGTTAGGTGACTTTTTTGCTGATACTTGAGAAGAGTGGTGTTCTTTTTAACTATGTCATTTGAATGGTTTCAGCCAGAGTATTTGAGGGCCATGGCTCCCAGTCCTTTCCCATCTGAGCCTTTCCTGAGATGCAACTAGAAACCTTCCCTGGGAGAGGGAAGCTGTGATCCCTTGTCACGAGCTCATATCATTAGTGAGGGCTCTGTTTCACTAGGGGAGAACTGAGGATGTCCAGCAGTTGCTGAAATATCCTCCATGCCAGATTCATGTCCTGCATTCTTCGTATTAAAATATCAGAGGCTACTGGGAGTAGAATCCATACAACAGATGTGGTGTATTCATCAAAAACTTAGGATCATAGAATCAGAGTACTTTGCATGGGGAGGGAGATGTGTAATTCAGTCAGAAAACAGTACTTTTTTATTTAAAACACCTGCTATAGGTTGTCATTGATGTATGAGGAACCCTCTTTTTGTATGTTTTTTCAAATAAACCAAAAATGACAGGCTTAATCGGGGATATAGGGGTAAAAAACCCAGTCTTTTCACTCTATTTTCAACATCAATTTTATACAATTCAAAGAAAAAACAGTTCACAATTTATCCAAATTTTGGATGGTAAGTTTATGTGTTTCTCATGTGGTTTTAGGTTCAAGTTCTTTTGAATCTCAGAAGATGGAAAGGCCTTCTATTTCTGTTATATCTCCAACTAGCCCTGGAGCCCTACGGGATGCACCTCAGGTCCTACCAGGGCAGCTTTCTGTGAGCATATTTTGCTTTTCTTGGGTTTTTAATGAAAATCTATGAGTGCTGGTCCCTCAGCCCTGCACATTCCCAAGGCCTGTTGGGAGGCCAAGAAAAATGTTCAGTGTTGGTAAAGATTAACATCTTTCAAAAGTTTTTTAACAGCCTCTGGATGCACTAACAAGCCATGACTGTAATCACAGCAGACATAAGAAATCATTGTCTTAGTACACCAAAGAGTGCAGGAATTTACATTGAGAAGAGCCCATAAAAGTGCCTTGAAACTTGTTATTTTGTAGCTTCTGCATTGAGAATAGTGACTTTGCTGTACATGTCCAGTAATCTGCAGATTCAAGCATAGTATCACTGTTTTCTTTATGGGAGCACTTAAAGGCCTGTATATTTATTAAGCATTACACTATTCAGTAATGCATTTTAATTTAGATACATCTTGAAACTTTCACGTAATATTAATTGAAGTCCTACTTATTAAATATACTCTTGGTACTTAAACTTTGTTTTCTACATTCTTTTATTTTTTATACTGATCATATTAATTCAGGAGCATACAGCAGGCTTAAAAATTTCTTAACATTATGATTCTCTTAAGAAATTATGTAGCTCTATATTATAGTTTTCATAAGCACTTTTGTAAAGGTCACAAATCTGAGTAGGTTTTAACTATGCCTTGAAATAAGATAGGCAAAGATTTCTATTTAATGTAGCTTTTAAGGTGCAGAGCTAAGACATGCTGGTTTAGGTGCACTTATAGTTCCAAGATTATGCAATGAGTACAATAAACAATGGAAGTATAATCAGGCACCATAATATTATTCAGCTGTGATAAATACAACAGGCTTTGGTATATACCATCATCTTTTCCATCTAACCTAATTAAATATTAAGGGATTTTAAATGCAATATATGTCATTGTCTCTGGGGAAAAAAAGAAAACAACAGTTACTTTTGCTTTGTGGTTATTTTTGATACAATCTGAAAATTCTGTTTCTTCTATATTTTCAGTAATGTTTTCTGGTAACTTGATTCCTATAGGTTAAACTCTGGTATGACAAAGTGGGACATCAGTTAATAGTAAATGTTCTGCAGGCAACAGATTTGCCACCAAGAGTAGATGGACGCCCCAGAAATCCCTATGTAAAAATGTATTTTCTTCCAGACAGAAGGTAACAGTATTCCAGTTTATAAAATTATGTTTTAATATACCATATATTGAATCAACTTTTAATGAATGCTTATGAAGAACTCCTTTTTACAATTTTTTATAGCTAGATTATTTATAACAAAAAATTACACTTGAATCATGCAAGTCAGTATCAATTTAACTTCGTGGTCTTTTGTAAGAATGTGAACCACTGTGCAGAAAATGCTTACTTCATTTAGGCATTATCACCTAAGAGAAAATGAAAACAGTTACATCCTGATGAATACATGGATTTTTGGATTTATCTCTATGAATAACTAACAAAAATATTTATGTTTCAGTGATAAAAGTAAAAGAAGGACCAAAACAGTAAAGAAAAGTCTAGAGCCAAAATGGAATCAAACTTTTCTCTACTCACATGTACATCGTAGAGATTTTAGAGAACGAATGCTTGAAATCACAGTATGGGATCAGCCAAGAGTACAAGAAGAAGAGAGTGAATTTCTTGGAGAGGTGATGCGTACAATCACATTTCTTCTGAGTTCATTGTTTGGTTTTGAGTATATTTGCATATTTTTTGTGCGTGTGTGTTTCTCTGTGTGACTTCAAAGTAAAATTGAAACCTGATGATTTTTCTGCTAGATTCTTATAGAGCTGGAGACAGCACTTTTAGATGATGAACCACATTGGTATAAGCTACAGACACATGATGAATCTTCACTACCTCTGCCTCAGCCATCACCATTCATGCCAAGAAGACATGTTCATGGTGGAGAGAGCACTAGCAAAAAATTACAAAGTAGGTCCAAATTCCATTAAGGTCGTTTAAATTTTAAATTAGAAGTTCTGGATATGGTGTAATGGTACATAAATTCTAAATAAAATAAAAAATATACTATTTCATAGTCTTTAAAAGTAATGAAAGTAATGAAAATGTGTGGCAGAAAGGCAATTTAAATTATGAGATTATGACATGTCAGCCTTACAAGTGTGACTTATTATTTCAAGTGCATGAAACCTGCTGGAATTGATTTGGCTTTCATTAGCAAAAAAAAATTGTTCAAAGATTTTTTTTTTTCATAAACTTCTTTTTAAATAGAAAGATGAAATTCATAATTATTGGATAATTTTAAAAAATTAAAAGCATTTTATTTTTTAAAAAGAAGTCCTTAAAGACTTACAAGGCTTAAAACCACTTTTCATCATAAAATTAGTCTTAACCTCCAATATGCTCATTAAAGTGTGCTTTTGCAAAAAAGAGAAATTTTATTAATGAATGTGTTTGGGAGGTACAGTTGTTTTCAAGAGTCTGATTTCAGGTTTGTATCAGGCACGTTAAAAGGAGATATTTCAACATTGTAGTTTTTCTCTGTCCATTTAAACTAAGATTTACTTAGAAATATGAAAGATGTAGGGAATTATTTTAAAATGCATTTCCAAGCTATTTTTCTGATTTTTCTAAAACGTGGAAGTCATTCACTCCAGCCAGTGTGTAGGGAAACAGTGCATATTCAGGAATGAACTGTAAATATGTGTTACTGCTGTAATTGCTGCATAGGTGCCCAAATGCAGGATGTGTATAAAGAGAGCAAATGAGAGGTTAGTTTTTGTGAGATACTTGAGCTTTTCTAAAAGCTGGCAGTGTTGTTTCCTCTTCCTCTCTCTCACCATATGCTGCCTCATCTCCTTTCCTGTTCAGCAAGCTGATTTAGCATATTCACTGAAGTAGAACAAAAATGGTTTTTTCCTTTACTTGAGTTTTGCTTTTGGAGGCTTACAGAGATAAACTATCCTAGTAGAGGATTACTGAGGACTGGAGAGGCAGAGAAAGGGAAAGGAGGCTGCAGCAGCTGTAAGATGTTAAATTGTCTCAGCTATCTTCTGAAGCATCAGTTTGTCACTGCAGTTGAGTTCTCCTTCGCTATTGTTTTGACTTAAAATCATCTTTTTGGTTTCATTATTATGTTGAATGAGCATATTCTTACATATTATAACATGACCAGATGTTCAGGTATTTGTTTACCTTACTGTTGTGCAGGATCTCGGCCAATCAGTGATAGTGACATCTCAGATTTTGATGTTGATGATGGTATTGGAGTTGTTCCTCCAGGTGCGTGGATGAACAGCATGGTCCTGCTTTCTTTTTCTTCTTTTTTGCTTGTTTAGTTTTATTTTTCTTTATAATATTTTGGAATATTGAGGATACTGGTTTTGGATAGTGCATTGTGGAAAAAACAGTTTTTCCTGATTATTCCATGGTACCTGTCCCATATCTGGCAAATTAAAAAGATTCTATTCATTCATTTATATTTATTTTGCATATCACTCTTCATATGGATGCACTGATTAATTTCTTACTGTGTAGTGCTCCAAGTATTATTTAAAATGCAAGTTAAATGTAAAAGACTCACACATTTTAAAATAGTTAAGATTTCAGTTTTTATTGAAAACATTTTTAAAATTATTTTGCTTTTTTGCTTGAAACTTAGATTTAATGCAGTCGTCCATGGACTTTATTGATAATGCATGGCTATAGATTAAGATGCATGTAGCATGGCTATATTTTTTATAGTTTTCATAAGCTTTCATGAACTATCATTACCCTAAATGTTCACAAATATTTACTTGTAGAGACTGTCATGGTTTGACTTTTAGTTCAGCATTCCTACTTACTGAAAATCTTGACGATTATCTTGGATACCACATTCTTCTAGTTCTCATTCACTGTTGCCACAAGTCAGATAAATATATTTCTCAATTGTCACAAGCTAACTGGAGAGTCACTATGTCACTGCCAGCACTAAATCAGTTTTTCTGTGGATCTTCCTGATGAAAACCACTGAATTAAATCGTGGTTGGATTCAGAAAGCTTTCTATCTTGACAATCTGTGCTTAAAATAATCTCACAATTTATTTATCCGTGATATAACTGTGCAAATAAATCACATATCTTATTAATGCTATATCATCTTGATGTTAACTGGGACAAATTGTCCTTCCTTTGATGCTGATTGGGTTCTTTTCTTATTTTATATACTTTGCACCTCAGTCGCTAAGAGAGAAATTAATTCATGTATGCCTAGTTATGATATTTGATATTTTTACATCAACAGAGAGAGTGAGAATTTAAAATTAAATATAAATAAAAGGCTCTAAATATTTTTCCTGGCTTTTTCTTTTTTTTGGTTTTGGGGTTTTTTTTGTAGTTGAAAATGTAGATACTGGTACATCTTTGTAGACTTACTTATGTTTGAAGTTTCAGTATATTCTTTCAAGAACTGGGACTTTTTTCCGCTGCCAGTCCTTTCTTGCATCCATTTGAAATATATTATTTTCCACCTCTCAGGATGCATTCAAAATGGTCCAGCTGCATGTGTTGGACTTTTGTTGATTGGGCCAGGATTTGAGTAACTGAGTCTTATTGACATTTCTTTGGACTTCATGCTCAGGTGTGCCTTTGATGAATGCACAAATCCAAACTTTTTCAGCAATCGCTGTAAAAATAGCAGGATTTAATTTTTAAAACAAGATTTACAATGATCTGAGAGTCTCCAAGTTAAAAATGGAACAGCATAGTGAGGAAGCTCCTTCTGAAGTCCGCCTAATCAGAAACATTCTGCTAGTTCACTTGACTATGCACAAGTTTGTCCATTGTGACTTTAATTGATGTGTTTGTTTGGCAGTTCTAAGTGGAGTTTGTCTGTTGGTGATTCCCGTGTGAAGTGAAAATACATATAAGTGTGTGGGGTTTGTTTGCATATACAACCTGAACTCTTTAAAGGGAGTTAGACTTTAGGCACAGGGATAAAGAAAATTTGAGCCATCAGCCACAAATCTCTGAAAGCCTGGACAGTGCATGGAAATGTGTTTTGCAATAAGACCTGGAAAAGGTTTCCACTCCCAATGTCTGTCAAATTGTTTGAGAACTGCAGGCAGAGATTCACAAATGTGACTGGAGATCAAGTTCATATGTATGCATTTCTACCCTCCTGTCCAACCTTGTTGACTTGCCTAATGGCTAAATGGTTAAGCCTTTGGACTGCTCCCTTTGTTTGCACTGAATGAGCACTGCAGTATCTCCTCCATGAAATAGACTCTGTTGTTAAAACTAAGCTCTATGCAAGCTCCTTCTTGTTCTGCACAGCCTTTACCCCTTTCCTCCTCCTGCCCTTCAGTACCATGGTCCTCACCAGAGTGCAGTCCAGCTCTTGTATGGTTCAGATTTCTCACTCATTCTCTTGCACAGCGTGCATGTGGGAAGGAGCAGAAAATATCCGTATTTCCTTTTAACGTAATATGGTGATGCGCCATTTTGGAATAGCCTTTATTGGCTTCAACCACATTAGTCTAGTTTTGAGATATTCCTCCTCAAGGGAAGTAAGAACACCAAAATTGAATTTACAACACTTGACACTTAAGAAAATATTTCCCTTTGATGACCTGTCCAAGCTGTAGGCTGCCAGCTTCTCCAGGAGAATCCTGGGGAAACAGTGTACAAGATTGTAATAATTTAAAGTAAACAACATCCACAGCCTTTCCCTCACCCACTAAGAAGGTGACCTTGTCATAGAAGATCAGGCTAGTCAGGCAGAATCTTCCTGAAAATTATTAATTTGCTCTTTTGCCTGAAGTATTGAGAAAAAAATGAAGTTATTTAGCCCCCTTAATATCTCAAGATTTTCACAAAGGTTGTTGCTCATTTTCTAATACATAAACGCATAACTACAAAATGTAAAACCAAAATTTTCACTTCATCTCCATACAAGCTAAAAATATGAAGGAAAATAGTTTTCCTAATTTAACTAACCTTGAAAATCCATAATACTATAGTTTCAAATGTTTTACCAATTGCTAAGGCAATTGCAGTATTAGAATTTAGAAATAATAAAGAAAACTATTTTCCTAGAAGTTTCAGCAGCTGTAAAGAATAACTTCTTGTCAGTGAAAGTAAAGATCATTGCATCAAAAATGCTACTTTAATGAATTCCAAAATATTTTTAAAAAAATGTATTTTTCCTTTGTCATATCACTAATTAATGAATCTTATCTTTCATGTAATTATACAATCCTCCCTTATTACTAGTACCTTGCAATGATATACATCTCATGTTTTTAATCAGCTCTTAGATATGTTCATAAAAGTTTATATCAACAGCTGAAAGTAACTTTATTTGAAGCTCAGATTTAAGAAAAATTATTTTGACAGTGTTTTTGTGGTATGCTGACATCCATTTACACAAAGAAAATATTCTTTTAAGTCTCTCAACCTCTGCATATATGAGAGATGCTCACGTTTCTTAAGTAAGTTTGTGGTCCTGAGCTGTTCTTACACCAGTCACTCTGTGTCTGTATTGTACTGGGCATCCCAGTACTCCATAAGGGTCAGTGAAGGTTTTAATAAAATCTGTACATATTTTAATACCAATCTGTTTAACAACAACTTCAGTAACTTCCTTAATTTAAAAAAAAAAAAAACAAAAACAAAACCAAATAAACCTCCTGATATACATCTGGCATTATCCCCAGTGCTATTTTTAACAAGCTGCATTGTTTATTCTGTGGGTAACTCTTCAGAGCAGTTTATTTTTCTGGTCACATGTAACCTGTATAAATGTATAAACCTGTATTTGCCTTCCTCCTGTAGCAGCAGGGTGGCATCAATACACTACCTTTTCCTTGTCTGTATTGTCTTTAAGAAAAAATAATATAATTCTGGTATCGAACATTTGCTAGATCCATTTTCATCATCTGTCCTCTCTTCATTTCCCATCACACCTGACAGTTTCCCATGAGCAAGTGAGAAACTTCTGCATAAATTACCATCATCTTGGTTGCTGCTATCATGCTGGTCCATGCAAAATTTTTCTCTCATCACTCTGAAGAGAGCAGAGCCTTTGTATTTGAGGATATGAGGAAAGGTTACTGTTGCTGTCACTGTCATGGTCACTGAAAGTATGGGTGTGATGTGACCAGTTTGACAATTCTTGAAATAATACTTGGGATAAGTATGAATTACTGTCTCTGTTCTGTAAGCTTTGTGTGCACACACTGCATAAGTATCAGGTATTGTTCCCGAGATAGCTTGACTGTGCAAAGTATATAACATAAAATCATCTTTCTATACTAGGTTTCTGGGTTTACAGAATAATCCTATGTACAGTTTTTTTAAGGAGACTAGAAATGCTCTATAAATATATTTTAAATCTAAATTTGTATTTCATTTTTTAAAATTAAGTTGTATGTGTTTTAGTAGAATTGCCTAAAGATTGAAAAGATGTTTAGGATTTCTTTGGTTTTAGTGTTTATTGTATGTAAACTGCTCTTCCTACTCATAGAGATGACAGGATTTTTTCTAGTACAAGCTTATTTGGAAAATGAATTATCTTTTTTGCAAATACAGCTTAGATTTAGTTATCCTGGGAAAGGGAATACACCCACCTTTTGTCATATTTTCTTCCTCTCACAAAAGACCCAGACAATTTCTGGTTTGTGAATCTCTATTGAAGTCCTGAGGGAGCCCCCCTTTTGCTTCAAAATTTGCACCCAATCCTTGTCCTGAGATCAGGGAAATCCTCATGTTTCTTTATAATTTTATTACAGAACTCTGAAACACTTTTTTGGCAGGTAAGGTACTCTAGCATCACAACATATCAAAACCTGCAGAACACTGGAGTCCTAATTTGTTAAATGGTTGACAAACCCCAGTAGATAGTTTCATGCATGTTGTCAACTTCTAGAGGCCATTCAGATGCATTGATAAACATTTACACTTTTTGGGAAAAAAATGTGAATGCTACTTTGATGTTTGTGGTCAGGGTTCAAACTTGCAGCTAAAGAGGTTATTAAATGTCATTGAATACATGATCAAGCCTCATGCAGACTCTGCATAGAGGGCACACTTTTTTAAAAGAGGGACTGTTTGTAATTTGGTAGAAGACCAGAGAAGAACTAGAAGAATTACACAAATTATATAAAATATGAAAAAGACCCCAACGTTAAAACCCTGTAATGAGATACATAAAAAGTGCAATTTATTTAATTTATTAAACTTCTCCAATTGATAGCTGGGTGGCAAAATCGTAGTCTTTTCCTGCATGAAAAGAACATTTCTGATAGAAGCTGGTTTTTTAGCTGAACAAAATCACACATTACAGTAACTTTAATTCTGGACAAATTCAGCGAAGAAGAAAAATTATTATTTCAATAGCTAAGCAAGAATTTGTAAAGTGATTAAAGGATGATTAAAGGTATGACTTTCTGTATCATTAAGGGATTTTCTGTCAAGGGATTCTTGTAATCTCATTTAAATGTCTAGAAATGAGCAAGTGAAGACTGAGCAGATCTCCTTAAGTTCTTTTGGAAAATTAACAGGTACATTTTGAAAGCTGTTATCTTACTGATCTTCATTGTCTTTTTTAGGATGGGAGTCAAAATGTATAACAAGGCAAAGAATGTGCTACCTAGAAACAGTCACAACAATGTTGAAATATTGAAAATGTGCTAACATTCTACTGTTTTTTAATCCTATTTAAAAATACTGTGAGAAATTTTTCTGCTTAATCACAATGTTTGGAAAATAACATTCTGCACAGTATGCAACACCCACTATTCAGTACAATATACTCTAAATCCTGGTAGTTTTTTAAAGTAGGTGGCTTTGGCCAGCTTCAGTCTTTAATTAAAACAAGAGGCAGAAAAATCCTTTATATATGAGCAGCCCTGTGTGAGTCTGTGCTGTTGTATGCAAGTGTGGTTTCTCCATTTTTTAGATGAGGTAAACCTGCACTGTTTAGGTTCTTTTCAATTATTTTTTATATACACAAAATACCAAGAATATTCTTCCCCAAATAAGAAAACCGCTCCACATCTTCCAGTACATCAAGAAGTCTCATTTTTTCAGTCTCTGTACATGTAGACATTTAATGGTAATGCTAGTGATTTATTCTGCATGATACATCGGGATGTACAACAGCTGAGTGATGACCTGAAAGCTGTGTAAGTGTTTGGATAGCTGCTCCTGGAAGACTGGTCATCTGAATTCTCTCTAAAGCCAGACCTTTATTCTCTAATTGCCTTTTGTTACCCTCTTGCCAGTAGGTTATAGGTCTAGTACTAGAGAAAGTAAATCCACAACGCTAACTGTGCCAGAGCAGCAAAGAACAACGACGCATCATCGTTCACGTTCCGTGTCTCCTCACCGTGGTGACGATCAGGGCAGGCCCCGTTCACGTTTACCAAATGTGCCATTACAGAGGTAGGCACCTCAAGGGGAACTCAACGTGCTTTCATGTTTGTATAATTGTTTCTGTAATTTTTAACTTTTCTCTTGTTCCGGAATTTTCCCAATTTTATAGCTTGGTTTTTCTATCGGAATTTATTAGTATTTGAACTTGATATATGCTTTCGTTATTCACTCAAGAGCACTCATGGGATAAATCATAACTTTGTGAGACTTACCTCTTTTTACTCGTATTTTATCTGTGGTTCATCATCTGTGTACTATAACTGATACATAGGTTTGGAAATTTTTTCACTCAGTGTCAGAATCTTGTATGAAGCCACTAAAGAATATTTCTAGGATAATAGTGGCATGTATAAATTGTGTAGTTTTTAATGGCATTCTTTCAGAAATCATGAATTAATAATTTATGATTAAAGAATTCCTTCAACCAACTTGTACTGTGTTATTCCATTGTTATTCATGAGAAAACATACTTCTGCTTTTCAGGAGTTTAGATGAAATTCATCAGATGAGAAGATCACGTTCTCCAACTAGACACCATGATGCCTCCAGAACTGCAGTTGATTACAGATCCAGAGAGATGGATAGTCAGTATTTGTCTGATCAAGAAAGGTACATTGTCAGCCTGAACATGGAAAAAAGTTTAGAAATGTTGTCAGTTTGCCTAATTTTCAAATTTTCATTAGAAATGTGACTGATAGCAATGGGGAAGGGAGAGAATTCATCATAACTGATAGATCTAGTGCCACGGTTAAATTATCTATACCTTTTTTTTGGTAAAACTCTGTACTGGATTGACAGTAATTGCAGGTATCTAGACAAATTAATCTTGTCTGTTTTTTCTAGATATTCTTCTGCTTTTTCCCAAATGAAGCCCAGAGATTTTTGCTAGAAACCCATGCATCTTCATGTATGCTCTAGCTCTTCTTTGTGCTGGCGAGCAAAACACCAGACATTAATTCCTCCTAGCTGGGAGTTGGAGGCATGCTAGTTTGGATTCATATGCTTATACATTTTGTACACCTATGAGTGCAGTCTCCCTGCATCTTATGTAACATTCTGGTGAATTTTGTACATTACCCAGACATAGCAAGGATAGTTGCAGTACTAGTTGTAGTGTGTAAAAATTTCCAGTCTTAGATGTGTGACACATACACATCTTTCCCTGAAATACACAGAGTGGCTACACCCAAAGAACGCTTGGCCTACCCTCGTAGGCACTGTTTTCAGGTGTCTGTCTTCTGATAAAATTGAAGAAATTAGGATTTCTTTTTAGTTTATACCTGAAAAAAAAAAGCTTAGAAAGGTATTTCAGCTCAGCAGTTGTGAAAAATAATGACAGTCACGTAGATTATCAATCTTTATGGGATGTTGTTTACTTTTAAAAAAATCATATCTAGACTATAATAGCAAACTTACCATTCAGATAAGATCAATTGTCACAGTAATGTCTTTGATTTTTTTTCTTGGTAGTAAGTAACTACTTTTAGAACTAAGTATAACAAAATCTTTCCCTATAATCCAGTAAACTCCATATGGAACATACATTATAAAACATAATGTTTAATGTAAACATTAAATCATAAAAATTTCTGGAAATCATTGGCCAGATTTGAAGCAACAGAAAGACTGAATAATAGATGGCTCTTGTAGTTCAGCTAGTTCAGTTTTGTATATGATTTTTCCTGTTTTACCTTTGTAGTTGCAACATAGCTGTGGGAATTACTGAGTTATCTGGTACATTAAAAATTCAAATAGGCAAGAAGTGTGTATAGAATTGACTAAATTGGATTTTTGCACTGAGTTTTCTTTCAGAAGTGAATTAAAATTGTTTTTAAATATAGTAGTCAGATTTATAGTTAGGCTAATTCAAGTAAGATCCACTTGTTGTAATTTTTTTCTGTTATTATTTATTTTGGGCAGTGATATATTCAAAAGATTCCGGAAGATATTTATTGAATTTATTTCATATTCATCAGATTTGAAGAGAAAAAGGCTTTTAAAAGTAGCCTTTTGTCAGTATAAATATAGACAGTTATCTGTCTAGAAATTTCTCTTTTAGTAAAGCCTCAAACCTGGAGGCTTCTGGTGATATATGCATGGATTATGGTTGGAGAGGAGCTGGGTTTACACTGAACCTTTCTTGGGAATGAGCAATGAGCTGCTGGATTTGTTCAGAGTCTTCAGTTCTTTTCAGTGTTCACAAAGCTTTTTTGGAAGTTTAGAGACCAGACATGAGGGATGTACATGGCTTATTTGCAGGATTTAAAGATGGGTCCATGTCCTTATGTCCTTGGATAATGCTGTCTGCAGTGGTCTCCTTTTCCCCATTTCCCTTTTCATCTTTTCCTCCAGATTTCACCAGTTGTGAAGTCTGTTTAATTCTGGCAGGTTTTGCCAGCTTTCAGTAGAAAAGAATAGCATCATATGAAAGATCCAAACCAGGTTTTGTTAAGAAAGATCCTCTGTCACATCCAAGAATTGAAAAAATCCAACTTCATCAAATATTATGGATTAGTATCAAGAGTAGTGTAGATATTGTGTGTTGTGCATTTACTGAACCCTTCACCTAAACAAGTACATTCACATAAATATCTAATGTAAACTTGGCTTGAAAGCTGAGGAATTACCCAATAATTGCATGCCAGAGATTATGGCTGCTGCTTAGTTTCAATAATTTTCTCAATGATCTGTTAATGGTTCAAAATCAATATTAAATCATAATATAGGTCTTTGTAAAAATAGTTACTACCACTCTTTTACAGAAGCATCTGTTGCAATAAGTTTCCAGTGGAACTTATTTGTCCACTTCAACAGTGTTATATATATTTATATACATAGACACACACATATATGAATATATATAAACTGTTAGGAAAAGCTTTTTATTAGTAAACCATTGTCCAATTTTCAAGAGCATGACACTTCTTTTTTCCCTTTTTTTTTTTTTTTTTTTTTTTTTTTGTGTTTCTTTTATTCCTAAAAGTAAAGATTTTATTCCTAAGTAAAATCTCTTAATTATGAGTATAGAAAACATTTGTTTGGGAATAGTAATCTCTACTTTAAATGTCTCCCAAAACAGACTTAATTTACCAGAGAACTGCATATTCTCACAATACTGGTAATCTTCTTGTTGGATTCTTTTACTTTTTTTTTTTTTTAAACTTTTTTTTTTTTTTTTAACTAGAAGATTTCATGGTGGATTTGTTATTTTATATCACTTTTCAGGATGACTTTTTTATTAGTGTTTGCTCTGGGCCGATTACAATAGATACTCTTTGGCTTAGGAAAGGTAAATGTTAACAAAGTACCCAATGATTTAATGTTGACTTTGCATATATTTTGCAACTCTAAAGAAAATAGTAACTTTTTTCCTATAATCCATGGTTGTTTCTAATTTGGAAAGATGCATATAAATTCTGCCAGTCCTCTGAGCTTATGAATAGAAATTTGGCTTAGAAAGAAAATTGAAAAATTCAGTTCAACTCTAGTATTGTTGCATCAATCTAGTGGCTCCAGATGTAATTAAATCTTATATGACTCACAAGGCATTATTTCAATCTGACCTGTTTAGAATTTTAGATTTGAGGTAAATAATGCCTATTGTGTATCAATGAAATGCATTATTTTATAATGACATGAAGTGTGAAACACGTTGAACAAGTGCTGCTTTATCTGTTTTGTAATATTTTCTCTCTTTTTTTTTTTTTTTTTTTTTTTTTTTTTGCCATAGTACTTCATGGGATTCCCTGCTTCTTTTAAAATTAGCATGTTTCCATGAAGCTTATCTTTAATTTCATATTTACAGTGATAGGAGTTTTGGAGCTTGGTCTTTCTGATTGTGTTGAAGTGCATAAAACTACAGGCTTAATTCAAGGAATATTTCATGTCATAGTCATATTTACCATAGGCATAAATATACATTAATTTTATCATCTTGCTGGCTATAGTATGTGTTTGCTTCCAGTATAATTACAGTAGAATAGATGACTGATTTTCCTCAATTTGAAAGAACAAGAAACAAAAAGTCTGATGGCTGATTAGCTTTTTTGTTTGTTTCAATAGGATTGTCATTACAAAATACCTCTTGAGAGAAACGAGTCAGAATTTATATTTGGCGAAACACAATGTTTCAAATGAATATATATTTTTGATTTTCCCTAAAGGGTGACTGGTTATTCTTCCCATAAACCAACCTGCACTAAATCATTATCAAACCTTCACTGCTTTTACATGTATGGTTTTGCAGCGTAGGAAGCCACAAAACCCAACACAAAACAAACAACAGGCATTTTTTTTTTTTTTTCTTAAAGCAGTTCTCCATTAATTAATTCATGAGACAGGAGGTTATTAGAAAACTGCAGCCATTTTATTTACTTGTTTCATCATGAAGAGCTCTGAAAAAGTAATTCTGAATTTAAAAGAAAAATATTGCAGAAGGAGGTGCCACACTAAAATGTTGTTATTGAAAATGTAGTTATTTTATGCATTTTTTGACTCATTTTTTGAGACATGCAGTCTTATCAGACTATCTATCTGGGTGAATGCTTGTCATTTCTTTTGATGTTTTCATTTGCTTATCATTGGCATAACCCATGTCATCTAATGCTTCATAACTATATCTGTTTCACTCACCACCCATCCTGTCTGTGCAGTGAGCTTCTTATGCTGCCCAGAGCAAAGCGAGGAAGAAGTGCAGAGTGCCTACACACCATCAGGTAAATACAGGAGTGTGGGAATCACAAACACATCTGGGTAGTTGTGCGTACTTCGTGTGCCCAGCGTTTTTTCCATGGTGCTGTTTAGTCCCAGTACATAAAGAACTTCCAAGTACATTGTGATCTAGATGTCAGTCATTCTTTTGTCTTTGTTTTAATTCAGATTCAGATGTGTGTATCTGTTTTTGAACCTCAGTAAGTAAGGACTAAAGGAGCTGAAGAGACTTTGGTTTTGCAGTTGTGTTTTGTGGTAGATTTTCTGTCTAGTCACAAAAGCCCTGATCTCCCAATGCATGACAGCACTGTAATAATTTCAAACATTGCTTTTTAGTTGGTTTTGTTTTCTTTTATTTGAATTTTTATGTTTATATACAGCCATGCACAATTAATCAATCTTTATTGTGTGACACCTAATCTCATGCTGATTTAGTCACTTGCAGAGGAATACTGAGTACAAGGGCTTACTGGAAGTCCCAGATTTGAGAGGTTTTGTATAATTTTTTTTACATCTAAAAATTGTTCCATAAATTGGATCCACCTGTAAACTTTGTCGTTTGGGCCCATTAATCTCTTGTTTCAAAGCTAGGAGCTCCCTGTTTTACTACTTTACAGAGTTGTGAAACTAAACAGGACTGAAATATCTTTACCTAAAAAATCAAAGTCTGCTCTCCCACCTTTTTTTTCACCATGTCTGTTAACTATGTTAAAAATCCATGACATTGTGTAGAACGTCTTTCATTTACAATAAGTAAAAATGTTGGTTGAAGTTAGAGTAGTTAACCATTCAACTGATTCAATCAGGTAGTTGTCCTCTGTTCCTTTAGGATCTGGGTGTTGATGAGAGTTTTGTGTCAGTACTAAATGTTTAAAATCATCAAATGTTAAACCATGTTGTCTAGTGCTACTATTCCTTTATTTAATGTAGGATTTTCTCCTACAGAGTACTGTTTCTTTTCTAAAATGTCTTGGCTTGCTTTAATTTTCATCATCAAATTTGAAGCAGTATTGAAGATGCTGTGATAGGGTTTTGTTATAAAGCAGAGTAGTATAAAACCAAAATAATAAATATGTAAGCTTTCAAAAAAATCTGCACCAGTGAAGCTGCTAAATTAAGTTTTTTTTAAGTTATAAGTAGAAATATTTTCATTCTTGTACTTCAGCTAAAAAGGCTATTTCCTCAAGATTTTAGGGTTTAATAATTTATTTAAATTCTTGTTATTTTATGTCTGTTTATAGTCAGATAATAGCAATTCTTCCTGCCTCCTTTCCATGTCCTTTTTGCTCCATCTTCTGTAGTTTCATTCTCTTCCTGTCCCCAGCCCTGTGCTTTCTCCTTTCACTCTTAAAGTTTATAATTGTTAATACAGTTTTTCAATGACATTGCTTAAAGTCTTGATTAATGAAGTAAATACAGCATTATAAACTTCTGGTGCACTTTGCCCAACCTTTAGCTTTCCAATAGTTTTACAAATCTACCAAACCAGTCTGGTCAGAGCAAACAGTTATGCACAACTTTTCACAAGCTGTGTCCTTTTTGCAAGGACAGCAATAGAGTTAGGTAATAGCTACACTGAATTCAGAGCCTACAGCGTTTCCTTGCCTTTTTCTTTATTCCATTTATTGTTACAGCATTTTTGTGATCAAAAAACCCAAAAATTTCACCCTTTAAAAGTAATAGTAGTGGTATAGTATAAAACAGAATGGTACTTATAATAATGTATTGAAGATGAATATAAAAGCCATAGAGGACAATAGACTAATTCTTTGAAATGTAACTCTGATGCTTATACACCCCAATTCCAAATAATACCCCGAGACTGGCAATATACATTCTCAAAAAATAGTTTTGAAAAGAGTTTCAGCAAAAATTTGTTCTATGCCATCTTCTGTCCTTTCTTATTTCTAGTGACTCGACATTTATTAATGGTAGAAATTTTATAAGGCTTTATCCTTGTTTTCTAGGCAGCTTGCTAATTAATTAGTCCTTGAGACAACTTCAGCTTAGAATGGGAAAGAAATTTTAATGGTTTCATGTTAAATGAAAGAAATTGGGTAGTACAAGCTACAGAGTTAAGATAAATGGTGAGTTTAATGCACTAGTTTGGAATACTAGTCCTAGCTATCCATCCTGTTGCTCTGTATGCAATTATTAACTAATAGAAATGGTGGCAAGGTGTGTACCTATGCTATAGATCATGGTTGCCACATTCCATGTCTTAGATCACCCCTACTTTGATTGGTAATATGTGCTTATGTGCCAGGATTGGCCTGATGACAGCCATTCCTTTATTCCTCCTGGGCAATGTTACAGTGACCTCTGATAGAGAATTCACCAGTGGTGACCACTAAACCCATACAAGAAGGGTCAAAGTTCCTCTGTTAAATCCCTCAGGGTTTTACCAACACTGATATTTCCAGGCAGAGAGTTGATTCACCTGTCTGTGGCACAGCCAGGTTTCTAATGTTGATCCTGCTGTGCTTTAGTCCAAGGCTTAACAGGAATCAAATGTCCTATCAGGACAGACTGCTGCAAAATCCTCAAGCCTGCTGGTTCTTCTCCTAGTAGTTCCATAGTTGTGCCCTAGTAGGGTATGTGGAAAATTGTTAGAATGTTGTTACTAACCCTTAGCCATTAAATGGCCATAATTCCCATTCAGCAGCTGCTGTCTTTAAATTTCTCTCTTGTTCAATGGGTAGAGCTGGCTGATAAAATAAACATTTCCTTCTCTAAAATCTGTGATGATATTAAACAGTTGTCATGTGACAACTTAGTACTGCTGTATTAGCTGATGTAGTACTTCTCCTCAGTTTTTTAATCAGCTTATAATTAATAATATTTATTACTGGTAAATTTTGAAGCTGATACGCCATTTTCAAAAGACTTCCACATTCAAAAAAGCCAACTGCTAATACATATGTAATTAAACTTTTGATACTATATATCCCTATTTTAGTGAGACTTTCATGCTTAGCTATGGAAGAGGTAAAAATCTCTGCAGGTCTAAGTAATGCATCACTAAGAGAAATAAAGAGGAAATTTAATATCAACTTAAAACAGTCTGTACATTTTAATTAAAAGTATCTATAAATGGAATATATATTACTTCCATTTCAAGAAAACATCTGAGCTGTACTAGCATTGGCCTAAGTTTATGAACTTTAATAAGAAAAGGGTTAATACTAAATTTTGTCCCCTAATAGCTGTCACGCTACTTGAGAAAAATGTAGATGAGATATCTACTCCTACAGCTATACAATATAATACAATATTATGCATTTATTTTATGTTCTGGTCAGTCTTGGTTTGCCTTTACCTGTCTTTTTATTTCTGGCATTTTTTTTTGTTGTCCTGTGTTCTTTTCTGACCCACCACATTCCAGAAGTTCTGTTAGGCACTATAAAACATTACCACCCAAGATGCCTTTACTAGAAAATGGTACTCATTGGAACCTATACAGGTAAGAAGTGTTTAGAGTCCCCTTTAAGTAGTTAGCTTCTTTTAAAAAAAAAAATAAATAGACTTCCCTTGCTAAGAAAAAAAACCCCAAAATGTTTAATATATTTTTGTCACTGAGAGATAAGGAATAAAATCCTGAAGTAACTTCATGTAGTTATTTAAATTAACACCTATGTTACAAAAAAAACTAAACCAAACTACTTTGTATTGGTTGGAGTTGTCTGCACTGTTAAAATTATATGTTGCATTTTTTTCTCTATTACATTCTTTTGTTTATGTATGAGATTTCTGTTACATGTTAAATTTATTTTCGTTTTGTTTAAATAATTTTAATTTACAAAGCTCAACTCTTCCTGCATGTGCTAAGACCAAACCCGTGATTAGACAGGATATTTCACTCCTTCATGATTGCCTTAACTTACGAATATCGAAATTTGGAGATGATCTACTGGTTAGGTAAGACACTGAGGATTAATCCCCCAACTTGTTTGGTATCTAATATGGATTTTGCAGAATAAATGAGCTTCACTGTAAAGGGATTTCACATGACATATAGTGGATCACATTATTTTATGTTGGCTTAAAATTTACTGCTGTTAATAAGGATATAACTTTATTGTTTGGTATTTCTCATTCCACTTTTCTTACAAGTGGATGCTGTTCTGTCTCATTCAGTTTTAAACATTTCAATAATATTTGCAAAAAATTTCTCGCAGCCTTTTGTTTGCTTTTATTTTCTAAACAAATCTTGACACTCTCATCCAGTCAACCCTTTTACGTTTTCCTTAATTAAATCATTGTGGTTCTACATTTTCTGTAAAGAGAGCATTATTTTATGAGTTAATATCTAACATTGTATTCCTTTCTTTGTTTTCTTTTTCTTTCTCTTCTACCATTGGATGCAATGCACTGGCACTAGTGAACTGCAGCCCTCCCTTGACAGGGCTAGGAGTGCTAGTACCAACTGCTTGAGACCAGATACTAGTTTGCATTCACCAGAACGAGAAAGGTATAAAATAAAAACTTATGAATTTCTTGTCATCTGTGCTGGTGATCTTTATAAGTTTTGTTTTTCTTCATATGAGTATTCCACATTCTTGTACATTCTTGTCTGCTTTGGTATTTGTAGACATTTTTGCTCCTGTATTCATGTATGTCATGTAAACTGTGTCTTGGAGTTTATGACTGCTTCTGGCTACTTCCTTTGTTTTGGTTCAAGCTGATGTTCATTGTTTACAAAAGTCCTCAGTATGCTGATAATAGCATTGCAGTGTTAAGTATTTCGAAACTACCACTTGGTTGTGAATCTTCATCATCATTTGCCAAAAAGCATTACATCTGTTCCTTGCTTGTTCTGTGGACTGCTAATAAAGCGGTGGCATAAATTAGGAAATACAACAAAGCTTTCACATTTTAAACCAGAACTGTATCAATACTGATATATTTTTTACAAAACAGCCAAACATCATTGCTTTCTTTAATCTGCTGCATCTGCTTTTGCAAGGTGGATAACTGCATTAAGGTTTTTTTGCTCTGATATTATATTAAGGTGCACATAAGTCTTATGACATGTTTACAATTTAAATGAAATATTATTGTGTCACATACGTTGTGCAGGCATGCTATGGATGCTTTCTGTACTTTCACAATTACAATAGCTTGATTCAAAATTTTAGGTGAATCAAATACTATTGGTGTAAAAAAGGTGATTCCACAAGAGAATTTTTCATCACTATCCATATTTTTGGCTAAGAATTGTACCACTTTAGAGTGAGATTTTAGGCTCACTAAGGGCAGTAATAGGCTCCCTTTGAGTGGGAATAGGACAGAATTAAATTTTAGTCTGTCCAGTACATGTTTAACTAGTATGGAAGTTAATAGTGCTTTTTTAGTCAATACTGGTGGTTTTAACAGTTGTGTTATTTTCTTTATTGTGGGGCAGGATGCCTGAAGAAAAGCACTAAGAATGCACTTTCCTCTTTGAGATAGGGTTTCACCTGAGTTTTTTGTTTATAATTTCCCTTTCCTTTCTCCCCACTTCCTGCTGCTCCTTGGCTGGAACTGTGCTTTTTCTTAAGTTGTGCTCCAGTTACAGAGAAGTGACTAATGTTCTGCTGAGGTATCCCTGATAGATCTACAGTAGTTTATGCCTATTTAAGTCTGAGCTCAAGACGTTACAGACACTATGAACATGGTTATTAAAAAACAAACAAACAAAAAAATCAGCTGATATAGAATGAATGAAATACAGGTATTTTTCTAGATCTTTTTAAAAAATATTGTATCATCATATTAATAACTGAATGTGTACATACATACAGCTGCCTTCATCTACAAGCAGTTACTTAATGTAATTGCACGTAAATGTGAGCAGTGTGTTCTGTACTTGCTTCAAGATGCCACCCATCAAGTTGAATATTCAATCAAACACTAACTGGTAATTATAAACTATCTATTAAAAAATTTGTACTCAAAACTACATCTGTCCTGATGTGAAGTAGTTCTAGTATGCCTTGAGAATTCATGTCCACCTCTGTCCACTGGGCACTGGGCAGAATATTCATAATTTTGCACAAGCTCCTCATAAAGTAAAGTGGCCTCTGTTGCTACTGAACGTGTGGTTTTGCCAAATCATCAGTGGGTCTGATGAAGAAAAAATTCCCCATCACTGTGAAAGTTTTTCTTAGCTTTTAGAAGTCCTAAATAGGAGGTTTTGACTTGGTATCCTTTATAGAGCAGAAAAGCTCTTGTTAAGGACGTTGATATTCAATTTTTTCTTGATCATTTAATTGAAAATAATAAGGTATGTGTGGCTTTGGCAGAGGATTTTTTTTCATTTCTTGTGACATAGGAGATTTTCCTATGCAGCCCAAATTTGGGAGGAGGATATTATATTTAATATATAAACCCCACCAAATTAATACTTTTGTTTTGGGGAACATAAATTTTAGATTATTTAATTCTCCTCTGTTGAATGTGGAACTGCTTACACTTGAACGTGAAGTTAGTCCTCAGTTGCATGTGATGATAGAGTCATCTTCAGTCTGAAGAACACAGAATTAAATTCAGGGTCTGTAGAAAGCATTTTGGTTCTGTGCTGGACAATATAAGAAAAGAAGATTTAAAATACAGTAAGACAAGTTTACCTTAAACGGTAAAAATCTCTTTTGAAAGTAATTACAATGTAATACTAAACACAATAAAAATTGGAATGTAATAGACAAGATGGAAAAGGCTGTTCATTACTGGACACTTAGAGGAGATGGAAAAGGCTATTTCATTACTGGACACTTAGAGGAGATGATACATTTGTCAGGTCTAGTATTGGTCCATCAAAGAGAAGCACTCTAAGGTTTTGTGAAGTCCAATCTACAGCCCATTATCAGTATTTGAGACACTTGTGTTGAAGATGTTGTTAGTTGTTTTCATGTTGTTTCTTCTTCCTTCTCCCCTCCCTGAATGACAGCATTGTAGGTATTATTTAAAAGTCTAGACTTCTGTGCCTCTAAATAAAGACTTCTAAATACACATGTGTATATTTTCTTTAACAAAATTAGGAATATACTTACCTATGTAAAGTTACTTCTGCTTATTCCCTGTAAACTTAAGAGAGTGTGAATTAGATTATATTTGAGAACAAGAGCTAAAATAATCCACATTTTAACTAAATGGTAGTGTTATAACAGATGGACAGTAGAGCCCTATTTCTCTCTCTCACAGATTTTCTGGAAACAGTTTTGATCCTTGAAGTTTATACAATATAATTCATGTCATTTGGAATGGTCAGAATAGTTACTGGTTTTTAATACACTGCTTTGCCAGTAAAAGTGATTCTATTGACTTGCTTATACCAGCAGAAAACTACTTTAAGCTCTATATTTGAATTTGTGATATGAAAGTCTAGTTAGTTTCAGTATAGCAGAACCAAAACAACAAGGGCAGAAATCCTTTTATCCTCCTAAAAGTTCCATCATTTGACCAAGTCCATATAACTTGACTGGCAAACTAACCTTGCCTTGACACAGGCCTGATAAAGTTTTTTGTTAAATGGACTTATTTTGTACAGAGTTTAATCCTTCATGTACTTTTCTTTTGCACAGTATACTCCAGGACACTCAAAAATATTGATCCCCTACTAATACCTCTATGCAGTTGCACCATGCCTGCCTTTTTTTTTTTCTCTCTTCCGACCATCTACCCTCTATTTATTCCAAGCTGGTTTCTTAATTTGTATTTTTTCCAAAATGATTTGTGGTTGAAGTTCCTTTGATGATCTGCAAGGCATCTTTAAGTTTATAATATTGCCATTGAAAGTGTTTTTCCTGCTACTACTTCATTATGCTTTGGGTTTTTTTCATTATTATCCTTTTCTCTGCATCTCAAAATTTCTGCTTTTTTTTCTTGTAAATTGAGTGCTATTTCTTTAGAATGGAGAAATTTCTTTTCAACACCCAGTCTCTGCTCAGGAGAACGCTTAGACCTGAGGTTCAAGGGCAGACTCTGAACTGATTTAGGAATGGTTTCTCATCATAATAACATGTTCCCCACACTGATTTAAGATTGCATCAGTGATAGTTAATAATATGTAGTGTGGCTATTATTTACCCTCTAAATTTCTGCTGTTGCAAGCAGTTGTATGTGTGTTAGCACAAGAAAGTTGCACTGATTTGTACTTCTAGCGTGCTTTTGGCCTGAGACATCACTTAGTGGAGGTCTGAGCAAATAAAACTGAGGAGCACAGCCCAGAGATTAGGTCATGTACAAGGGTCAGCAAACCTGCAAAATATGGCCCCACAGCTGTGTTAGATTTATTCTGAGGTGCTTCACTGCAGTGGGAATCAAAACAGGATGTTTGCCATCAGCTGGCCACTACTATCTAAACAAGAGACAAAGCTCAGCAGTTGCCTGTTACCTAATCATAAACAGATATCAGGGAGCTTGATCCAATTAAACTTGTCCTGATTTCATGTTGATTTTAATATTGCATGCCCTTAACAGTTATGTCGAATACCCCCATTTCCATTTAAAATAATTACAGTGAAATAACTGTTTGCATTAGGTCTGTGACATGCTGTCTTTCTGCTTCTTTCCAACCATGTAAAGAAGTAGGCAGTTACGTGTTGGTGTTGTACTGTGGCTCACAGTCATTCAGCATTCAAGGAAAAAGAGCATATTCTGAAATTTCCTACTGAATTACCTAGTTAATTCTTTCAAATGCTCTTTAATATCTGTGGTGGATATCAGCATATTAAGGGCTTTGACTGAGTGCACTGATGCATTAACATTTTCTTTAGCTCTTGCTTTGGAGAGAAAAAGAAACTAACTACTAACAACCTATTTGCTCTTAAAACATCTGAAAGACCTACCTAAATGTTCAAATAATGTTCATGTCCCTGAAACCTTTGTTATTTGCATGTTCCATAAATAAAACCCTTTTCCTTATTCCATGGACTGGAAGAATGCCTCAGAAAGGGAAATATTAGACACTTGTGCTGAATTTATGCAAACATTTTTTTATTTGTCAATGATTCAGTTTGTTTTGTTATTGTAAATCGTTATGCATAGACTTCTTGCATTACAAACACGACATCCCAAAAAAATAAGCATGTCTATAATATAGTATATATAATTCTGAATTGAGTGAGCTTTTTTGAGAAAAAAAATCTCATAATACATCCGTTTTCATTCTCAATTTAGGTCCTTTTTGTTGACTTTAGTTGTGTAACATAATGTCCTTGCATGTACTTCACGGATGAAGAGAAATGAGCAGAAGAGGAAGCTGGCTGCACACACTTTCAGTATATGTTTACAAAAGATAAAAAATTACCCCCGTACTTGTACACAAGTGTGTGTAGCTTACTTTTAGCTAAATAATTTACCTGTATTCTTTCACTGCATTCCAGAAAAAGGTGACTTTATGCCCTAGAACTTTTATAATAATTAATAGTCCTACATTTTTACTGAGATTACATTTTCCTGTGTAAATAGGTAGGAGAGATGGGATTAGCAAAATACCAGGATCATGATCATCATACAGTCTTTAAAAGTATTTGCTAATTTGGAATTGCAACTTCTTACACAAATGACACACTTTTAGGTAGTCAAGTATTTGAGACTATTTGAAAACTTAATGGTACACCCTATAGAAGATTTATATTGGTGTAAATTCTGCATCTTTGGGCACGCCTTCTCTTAATTTCAAATGTGATGTGTCTGCATTAAGCAGCCTTAAGTAAAGTGTACTTGGGTATTAGAAAGCTGTTAGAAAAAATAATTAAATGACACACTTCCATTACTTTTTTGGGGTATTTTTCCAGTCCCAAATCCCATATATTTAATTTTACCACAAACTAAATACCGTATTTTTTTCCTGTTTTATTGAACGGGCAAACAGGGGTAGATGGTCCCCCTCCCTAGAGAGGAGACGACCTACTAGTCCCAGGATTCATATCCAGCATGCATCTCCGGAGGATGACAGGTACTAGTCAACTCCTCCCAGTTGAAAAATGGCTTACTGCATCTTGCACTCTCAGTGGAGTACACTGACATTTAGAAGTGTGCATTTGTGTGGAGACTTACAACCTCCAGAAGCCCAAAATAAAACAACAGTTTAGGTATCATCTATGCGTTTTGTTGAACTGTTATAAAGCACAGAAGAATGAACATCTTTCCAAGTTTTCTGTTTGTCTTAATAGTCACAAGACATGAAATATGATGTCTGATGCAACAGAACATCATCTGTGTTAATGTTCTTCAGTCTGTTTTTACCTGCTTCTGTAAATTGTGCTGGTGCTTTCACTGTGGTGCTTTATAATGTGATAAATACTTGTTGCTAGAGCATATTCTTGTATTTATGTTTGTTTTCATTGGTTTTGGTTTTCCTTTTTTCAAACTGTTCCTAATGGGAGAAAAACCCCACAGGCTGATATGTTGGAGGTCTTGTTAACACTTTCTAGTTGATGTATGTAAAAATTGGCACTGTTTGTAAATTCTGTCCAAATCAGGATGGCCTCCATGGAGCAGGGTTCCCTAATAAGGTAGGTTTTGATTAAGAACATCAGGGCTCTAAATAAATTCTTATGCTTAATATCACCTGTGATTAACAGAAGCACCTTTGTTTTTTACTTTTCACAAGCTTTCTAATCACTTGAGTTTTGATGTCCCATTGCTTTGGCAGCAGTAATTTTTTCTTTGTTATTTTATTTCCAGATAGATCTGGCTTTATTTTAAGCAGAAATTTTAATTTCTATTTAAGTGCAATTTCAAAAATTTTCTTAAGTATTTTATATTCCAGTAAGTGACAGGACACAGATTTATGTAAATACAGGTGAATGTAAATAATCTGTACATGAGTTTATGGAGTTGCATTTAAAACTGTAAGACTGAAATACCAGTGGTGCCAGTCCTGACCTTCTGCTAAAGTCTGCCCACAGTACTGATATTTGTACTGTGATTCATCTTGTTTACTTGACACTGGAAATATTCCACTCAGACCAGGTGGGAAGAGTGTAACTGTGTGTGGGTAGTATTTATTTTTTTTAATTTGAGTTAAACAGCATTACAAATTACAGAATTAAAGTAGTGAAACATGGTTTTAAAGCTGTCCTCCCTTGCAGATACTGCATTTCCAGAAATTTTGCCAACACATCCCTTTGATGGGACAGTTATTAAGAGTTTGGAAATGTACTTTATGTCTTTTAGGCATTTTTAAGTAATTTTGGTTCTCATTTTTTGAGTCAATTGAAGGATTGCCTTTGACTTCAGGGTATCAGACTTGAAAAAATCAGTGAAATAAGGTTTTCATCTAAATGCTGCCATTCTCAATGCCAAATAGTAAGCCTTTTTACATCAGCTGAAATTTTGTGCAGAAAGGCTGAAATCATCTAACACCCACCAGCAAACATTTTACAGTGAAACATCTGTAGGATATGGAATCTGTAAATGGCAAGGTTTTTGAGATGGATAGACAGCAGTCTAATTTTCTATGTGAAATCAGTGCCTAGCTGTGTTTGCAAGTCTTGCATGCAATCTGGTCACCAAAATCCAGTGTTGAGCAGTCAGGCACTGATGAGCACAGAAGGAATTTAAGCTACCCTCAATGCTGATGAGTGTTTGCAGCCTGTGAGTTCCAGGATTTTCTCCGACATTAAGAGATGTTCTGAGAACATTGAGTTTTTTGCATATCTGTAGAGAGAACATCAGTGGGGGAATCGAAGGTGCTTTAACTTTGTTCTCTACTCTGTAAGTTTACATTTGTTCTGATTAATTCACATAGTAATTGCAGTGGGCCAATACTGCTCAGTTCATTAATCTAAGTTTTTTCAAAATATGCTTATATCAATTTGACAACTGAAGTGTAGTGGCTGTTGGGGGATGACTGATGGATCAGCAGGGGTAACAAACTAACTGCTTATCACAGCTTTTGAATTACATTTCACAGATTAATTTACTTTGGCAGACTTCATCTTACTCTTCATTTGAGTACCTTACAGATTTATATTACAAATAGGTCTAATTTGCATATAGAGTGGAATCAAGATCTGTTTCTGAACACATTTCTTAAATCTATGACTTATGCATTATTTCTAATTTTGATAAATTAATTTTTTGCAACATTGTATTTATTTCTAATAGTTATTTATTTCTAATAGTTATGAACATAAGTTTTGCTAAAAGTTTTGGCAAGATTGTTCTTCTGAAATTCGCTCACTTGCCATATCAGGAAGTGACTCCTTGATACACTGATGAGAAGAAGACATGAGTTATGTGTTATTTCAGTGTTAAAAATTTACAAATGTTTGGTATAATTTATTTCTATAAAATATTTTGAAGGATAGCTTTTTCTATTGGATTTGATAGCATAATTCCTTGAAAGTTTTTTGGTTTTTTTATATTAGAAATTAGGAAGTCTAAATGTCTAATGTCTACAGTGTAGACAGATGGGTATCTGGAGTCTGTGAAATTTAAGTGATGATAAAAACAAGGTGAATGAAAGCATTTAATGGTAGGTAAAATTTTTTTTCAGACTGTTTGTTTGGAAAAATCTGCATATAATATCAACATATAACCAAGACTGGATAAAATAAGCTTTTTTAAAAAGGAATTCTCATATATTTTCATTTAGGAGAAGTAGCTTTTGTCAGTCATGCATGTATGTGTAAGAATGCTTGTCCCAGAGTTCCTGAAGCCAGCTGCAGAGCAAGTGCCCTCCTGGTACTTGCAGGTACCATGCAGATCCAGCCTTTAAGAAAACCTCAGTAAAAGTCAGGAAGTGTTGAACATGACATTCCTCGTGGCTTCAAGGCTACATAATGTAACACTCACTGCAAACCACTGAGGGTTCTGCCAATTACAATACAGAAATAAATAATTTAAAAATACTGGACACTGAATTGTATAAAAATGTTATCTTTTCATTTCACAAGTACTAATTTTTCATTTCAGTAGGAATATTGTCAAATTTCTCTGTGTAGATTTGTTAACACAGATCTGGTAAATACACTGAGGCACATAGAACTTTGGAACATGAACTATAAATAGCTTGTGTGTATATAAAACAATATGTAGTGCTTGCCTAAATATGATACATATTGTTTAGTGATTTTGTGTGACAGTTGGAGGATTTATGATCTTAGAGAGAAATTTTAGCCTTTCCTGACTCTAATGGAGGTATAGATGCAAATATATTACAAAACTTCGATTATTAGTGAACCACAAATATTGCTGAGTTTTCTCATTAAAATCCAAATTTGGTATTTGAAAAAAAAATAATTTCCTTCATAGATCTTATAATATACTTCATTAAAAAGCAATAATAAACCATCAGGATAATAGTATTTTTTGCCAGATTGAAAGCTGTGAAATTCTGTGGCTTCAGCAGAAATTAAAATTCCATGTAAATTCAGAAATATTCCTATACAGTTTTTATTAGAAGAAAATCTGATTCAGTTATTCTACTTTGCTCTTGAGTCACTGAAAAGTTACTGTAGCAGACTGTGTGGCAATAGAACATGAAGGTGTCATCAAAATGCATGAAATTAGGAAATATACTTGCATTTTCAGGAGAATTTCACAATATAATGACAAAATATGCATTGTCTTAAGCAAAGAGGTTTTTTATATGTTTATATATTCTCAAGAAGGTTAATAGCACCTATTAAATAACAGTGCTGCCATTCAGCATGTAGAGCATAAAGGTTTCTAAAAATAATACTGTCATGGCTTTCATTCTATACTTCATTACACCTTAGAGTGCTGATCTTACATCTAAAATGTTATAGTGTTTGGAATAGGAAAATGAAAAATACAGCTTTTTTCAGTAGATAGTGACTTAATGCTTTTTTGTTTATATATTTGCCTGCATGTCTCCACCTTCACTGCATGTGACCATCTCTCTGTTTCTGCTCATTCCGTCCAAATTCACATCCATGTTTCCAAATGTTGTGAAGAACAAGGACGCTGGAGTCTTGCATTCCAAAACAGGACAGTGTAGACCACCTAAGTGCTAAACCTGGAGCAGCACAGAGGTATCCTTATTTGCTCAAATCATAGATCAAAGTAAAAGAGGTATTGATTATAGTATATTCTTCATATGTTCTGCATACTTTCACGCATTTTCTTTTTTTTTTTTTCCCCTGGTTTTATGTACTAGTACATATGTGCATGTGTCATTCATGGATAATATTTTTTCTCCTATGAAGTATGTTTAGGAAGTAAGTCAGAGCATGCTGAGCTTATTGGAAATGTACACAGCATCATCTTAGACAGAGGGAGGAACCAAAAAGGAAACTGATTTTCAATAATTTCTAGTATGTGCTGCTCTCAAGGCAGTCCTGAGAGCAGAGAAATAAATGTACTCAGCTTCATTGGTGCTGTGTATTACTGTGTTACTTGTCACAGCAAAGCACATCCTGCTCTTGGCTTTTCCATCCACCTGAAACCACTCACTATGAGCTCTTTCTCCATTGTATGCAATGTCACAATCTAGGCGAGCAACATAAGGAGTAAGGGAAAAATAAGCCCCAAACAGAACCAACTGAACAGAAAATGAAGAGGGTGACAAAATTTGAATGGTAATGCTGATGCATACAGTGGATCTAGCCATAAGTTTTAGGGCTTTGCTAACTATAGGCTTTAAGTAAAGCTGCAGCATTTATTATGTGCATTTTCCTCTGTATCCACTTTATATTTGTCCTTGTAAAGAAAAAAAATTGAAAAACAATGAGAATATACAAAAAATAAAATAGATTGAGGATAAAAGGAATTTCTGGTTTTAATCTGACATACTATTTTTTGTCTGAAAATACATTTTTAAAATCCCAAAAGCATCAGGTAGTGACCTCTGCTCATGCAGAAAGTATTTTGTATTTTGATGCAGTGTTTTCTTTTTTGTAGAATATACTGCATCACAATAAAATGCTCATCAAATACTGCAGTGGGTAAAAATAATGAAAATACAATGTGATTATGTTCTTTGGACATAGTTTGTTGTCACAGCTGTTTAGGTCTCTTCCCCTTCAGGCACTGGATTACTCTTTATAGCCACAAAGATTTAAAAGGAAAACATACTATTTTAAATATTATTTTTGTCTCTCTGTTTTGCCCACAGTAATTTATTTAGCCTAATACATGACATTGATTGTATCATTACAAGATCTTGTATGTATTAAAGTTTGTCAGCATTTCTGGTCTAGGATTGAATAATCATCACTCCCTGGTTTTACCGCCCCTGAAACACTGTAAGCACTTTTTCTTCTGAAAAAAATAATGCATATTGGTGATTTTCTGAGGTTTAAAGTAGTAAATCCTAATTTGTAAATACTAACATTACTGTGGATAGTACAGAAAATTTTGGAACACAAGACTTGCAGAGATTTATTTATTATATTTATAGTCCTGGGTAATAATGGTGAAACATGGCTTTACCTTTGTTCTTATATGTGTAGACTTCTATTCCTCTTCATTTTTATTATTTAATATCAAAGGGACTGCTTAGATTATCTGAAGTAACTAGTGCCTCATTATCCAAATGTCAGATGAATTCTGTAAAAGATTTGTGTAGGAAAGGAATGAAGGAGTGAAATAATTTCTAACTTACTTATATTGACTAAGAAGAAAATAGAATTGGTTTAATCTGTTTTTAAAAACTTTAAAAGGTAATGGAAGGAGATTTTTGAAAAAAACAAGTTTTTCTTAATATGGTGACAGCCTTTTTTAAATCTGATATAATTAGATTTAAAAACAATTTAAACCTTCAAATAATATTTTCTGTTTCTTTCTGCAAGGTTTTTTTCCTGCTGTCTACTCTGAACTTGTTTCTCATGCTGTTGAGAGACGCCTTATAGGGTTATGAGGAGTCATTGTCTATAGTAAAATGCAGGCTGTGAAGTGGAAACTAGTTGCAGGTTCAGTCAGGATTAATGTTTTCTTCCCTGGTTTGGTACCTCATAAGCTGCACACTGTGAGCCTCAATCAAACCTAATTAATGCAATGTCTCTTAAACCTAGATTTCACCAGCCTGTTTATGATGATAGTTGTCACTTTCTCATCTGCCAACTGTTTCTTTTATTACCTTTATAAATAATCTTCATGTTTCTGTATTCTTTTTCTTCTCTGTTTATTTCTTTTCTGACATGTCATTTCGCAGGCAGTCCAGAAAAGTGGAAAGATATAGCAGCCAAAAACAAGCTAGGAAAGGCCCTGCAGCTGAAGCAGAAAGGTAGGAGTGTTGATTGACGTGTAAGCATCTCTTATTATCAGTCTGATCCCAGATTTTGGAATACACCTCTAATACAGCTTTTTTAGAACATCTATGACAGAAAGCTATGTTGCCATAATTTACAGTATTATATGTTTTGTATCTGTATTATTATCACTTTGTTGCATATATGTGGAATTTTTCTGGCATTTTCCATCATTGCAGATAAGCTCAATGGCAAAGACTGGAAGTGCTTTTCTGCACTTCCAGTGCAGAAAACTGATTTTAACACTGATTCTTTTTCAAAAAAATCCTTATTTTACATTAACTTTGAGGATGAAAAACCACAATTGATTATATAAATAGATAGACAGCTATAACAGATAAATAACTCAAAATGCCCCTGATCAAATCAATTTCATTTTAATGTATAAAAATTTTAAGTTACACATTTAAATCTATAACTTAATAAAATTAATAGAAAGACTGGTACTTTTTTAATTAATTGAATTTTTCTGAATTTATATTGTCATTATATCTTTTAACTTTGATGTTACAGTAGTATGGGGTTACATGTTCAAAATCTTTAGAAAAAGTAGAAAAATAGAAAAAATATAGATATATAAAATAGAATAGAAATATATTAATATAAATATATTAATAAAATAGAATAGAAATATATAGAAATTATAAAGATATATGTGTAGAAAAAATAAAGGTATATACTGAATAATAAGTACATCTAGTTAAGTTTTAAACCCTGTATATTGACTGAAGTATACAGGGAGGAGGGATGAGATCCTGCCTTTGTCAGAAAATGATTGATGTTATTTTGATTCACACAGGTGGAGAGTACATCTGTTTACATTGTGAGAGCATTAAAACTCCCTTGAACAGCACAGACATCTCTATTTTCAATGAAAATGCACATTATGTCACAAAACTTAAGCACTTCTTTTAGTTTACTGCTCCTAGTCCCAGATAATTGTTCCTGATCCAAAAGCAATGGCTACATTTTCCTTGAGTCAGATGACACTTGTCACAACAACCCAGGTGCTTTTTTCAATTTGAGTCAGAGAGATTACCTAAATGATGACTGAAATCCTTGCTATGATTGAATCAGGGGCTTTTGTGCCATGGAGATTACTAAAAACTTTTTTTTCACTGTTTTTTCTGACTTCTGAAAACTAACTGATGCCTAAGGGGTTTGGCTCTTGGTAATTCAGCAATGAACCCAGGGAACAAGAGCATAGGGAAACACAAATTTACTGCTTCTTTTTACATCTCCATGGTACCTGGTGTAGGTTTCTGTTTCCATAAAATGATTCACTAGCATTAGATGTGAGACAAAAATGTTTCAATAAGTCTGAATTCTGTACTTCAGTATTCCATCATAGACGTAATATTGCACTAGTGCCAGAAAATTTTAGTAATATGACAGGCAATGAATTTTCCCATCAAATATAACTTGAGACTCTTTTTTCTTCAAATATTCATTTTTCTCTTACAATTGGGCTTTATTTTACCATTTGCAGATCCTGTCTACTATTAGTTAAGCAGATTACTGGAATAACCTATCAACATGCTGTCAGCATCTCTATAAGGCATTTCAACATGCTATGTAAGACTAAGTTTTCTGTGTAGTGTGATTGCTTAGGAAATGTACATAAAAGAGAGAAAAACTGCCTTTTGAATATAGTTTGTAAAGCTTAGAATTTCTTCTAATTCAATGAGATAAGCCTTCTAGATAGGATTCAGTAATCTGTTCTGGAGGAGTAGAATTGATTACACAAAAATAACTTTCTGTTCTTTTATGAATGAGCAAAAAATTGTTTATCCCAATTCAAAAATATTTTCTTTCAGCCCTAACCCTAGAATTACCATATGTGACATTACCTGCCATATTTTAGGATACATGCAGTCTTGATCTGTATTTTCTATATTTGGCATAGGACACTATTCCAGGGGTGAGCTGGATTGGTGACCCTCACTTATTCTTAGTTTTTCTTTAGAGTTTCTCAGGTAGCAGCATGCCACTGAGACATCAGTCTGAAAGGAAAGGAATTTGAGTTTTCTTGTGTACTGGCAGAGCTGGAACCTGTGGGATTCCCCTGTAGGCCACTTCCAGCTGAATTAATATGTTTGCTGCTTGCAGTGTCTCCTTCCTCTGTGAGGAACCAGGAGATACACATGTACATGCTCATTGCAGTCTCACTGCTCACCAGGTAACATTTTTTTTCCCAGATTCCTCTTTCTACTTCTTATCTCGCTTCTGTCTCATTTTCTCGCTAGCTTTTGTCTTCCATGCTTGTTCCATGTTCCTCTTCGTCTCATTCCTCTGATCAGCCATTTACAGGCTTCTTCCTGCAAGCAACAGATCTGTCTCCTAGGGCAGCAAGTCCTTAATGCCGTTCTAGTCATTCTCCAATTGCCTTTTGTCTCTCTTTTTATTTGCACCCCAAGAGGCATATTAATCTCCTAGTAATACCCCAGGTAATGCAAACCTTATGCCTGATTTGTCTTCAAATTAGGTTAAGCAGATCCTCTGTCTTTTTCTTGGAAGGGGGGCATGTGTGTAAAAAGAGTATTACTGGAGAAGGAGATAAGTTTCTGAGTTGCAGGTAAGTCCTGTCCTGTTCTGTAATGGCAGGACAGGCATCTAGTGTTTTGTTGGGCTCTCACATAAATTCCTGGATATTTAGCTTCTCAAAGGAAAAACATCAGAACTGATAACATGATGACTTTGTTAGATGGAAGCATTTATCTATAGGAAAAGCAAACAAGAACTTTCTGGCGCAGAGTAAGGTCCATATTTACCTTATGGATGTTATGATGTTTAGACATCTGATGGGTGCTTAAAACCTGGTTATGTGCAATAGTTGGCATGGATTACTTTTGTAGTCAGCATAGAGAAACAGAAATTTTCGGAAGTCAGGTCATCTTTGTTATTGTAAGCATCTTTCAGAATTGGGAAATTCAGTATCTGCAAGAATGTTATGGTTATCACTGGGGCAAGCCAGCAGTTAGCTGAAGAAATGTTAGGATTTCAAAGAAAGAATACAAGCTCAAGCAACAGAATCTTCGGTTTTTTTGCATTGTGACTGGTCTTCCACAGGGACTGTTACTGATGAAATTATTTTGAATCCAAACCTGTTTGTTATCCTTGGTAGGCATCCTTGTGTTATTTCATATATAGGGGTTTTTTTAGGATTACTTATTAGTGTATGATAGTCATATGAACCAGACAGTTCCTTGGATGCCTTGACTGTATCTTGTGGGGAAGTTGTGCTGGGTGTTTGAAGGGAGATTTCGTAAGTCAGCAGAAATTAAACAAACAAACAAACAAACAAACAAAAAAACCCAACACACCACCCCACAACGAAATGACGGCATGAGGATTGAAATTTCTGATGTAATTTCTGATTCAGTATTACCATTCACAAAAGGCTGCCCTGTTGGAAAGCCAAACAAGAGTAAAAAGGTACAATTACAATATTTTGCCACTCTACAAACTGGAAATGCTTCTGGTTATCTTTTAGTCTATGGAACTAGTAATAATTATGGTCTATTATACTAACATGATCAATCACTTTACTGCATAATATTAGTTATACTTTCATTCATCAACTATATTTCTGTTTAAGTACTTACAGGTACTTAAATAGATTTTCTATTTCAAACTGTAAAGGAAACTAAGGAAATCACAGGTGTGCTTCCATATTGTCCTTTTTTAGGTCACTAACTGAAGTGCAGTTAATATTTTTAATAAAAAGAAAAAGTGTGTTTTAGAAATAGAAATGCTTGTGTGGTAAACCCAGGTATTCATAGCCTACTCTGTGCTCGTGCTTTTGTTCTATGTTTTGTTAGCTCGTGTTTGCTGTGTTCACACAGCAAACTCTGATCTTACAGGCTGAGAGAAAATCAGTTGATCTACCTAGTGAAAGCCAACAGTATTTTGAAGTTGCACAAACGTGCTACTTTAAATTACAAATTATTACTTGCAACAGGATAAACAGTGCTTGTGCACTATAGTGAGTGTGACATTACTGTAACTGGCAAGGGCATTTCACAGTAAGCTCTCCTCAGTAACCTGCTGCTTCTCATCTTGGTTTTACTTTCTCAAACCTTTTCCCTGTAATTATTATAAGTGCCCATACTTATTTTAAATGTTAAGGTTCCAAAGGTATTTGGTGCTTTACACTCTGAAACTGTATCTATGAATAAGGCATCAAGTAGCCAAAATGTTCTGAAACAGTGCTAGCTAGAATTCAGCCAAAGTGATTTAGGATATTTACTTAGATATGAAGATTAAAAGTCTTTTGCATGCACACACACCCTCCCTTTCCCCACCCCAATACAAATGTTAAATATCTTTTTCCTTCATTTTGTTCTGGGAAAAAACACATGCTGTCCTATGGAAATAGATGCTTGCTGTCCAGTGGCCTTGTGCAATTATTGCATCACCGTAAAGGGAATACTAAATTTAATAAAACATAAAAGTGGCATTTTATATTGCCCTGTGCCAGTGCAGGAGAATGTGTATAAATTGTGAGTAATAATCCTTAAGTGGTTCTTAGAAAACTGCTTTCCATTCAATGTTTTTTCAATATTACTTTATCAACAAAAAATTCCCAAAATGACAAAAAACCCAAACCAGAGCAAACCCACAAATAAATGAATAAGTTAAACAAACAAAAAAACTGAAAGAAAGTAGTTCTATAGCTGAAGGTAGGTAAATAAATTAAATGTAAGACCTTATAAGTTCACTAGGTATCTAGACCTGAATATGTGCATATGGCATAGACCAAATGTGAACTTTTTCAAACCCATCTTCAGTACCTGCAACTTGTTTTGTGTTTAAAAGTCAGAATATAAAATGTGTCTTCATTTGCCTTATTTCGTTTTCATTTCAATATCATTTGCAGAACACATCAGCAAGGAAGTCCCACGCAGTCTCTTCCTGCAGACACCTCGTTCAGCAGTCGTAGGGGAAGACAGCTACCACGAGTTCCAGTAAGAAGTGGCAGTATAGAGCAAGGTATCAAATAATGAGCTTGTGATAGCTCAGACTCTTTAATTTCTTACCTTTCTTTAAGTCTTCTTGCATATCTATATGTACAATGCTATAATTCTACCAGTAAAGCAATAGAAGAGAATGAAAGCTTCTTTGTAGTTTGGGAAATCCAGTGAAGTTTGACTGGTGTGTTATGACATGTGGTTTAATTGCCTTACTTTTCTAGTACCTTTTCATGTTTAAATTTTCTATTTGAGTAATGGTAGTTTCCAACATGTCTAGTATGTTATCAACAAAAACAAACAAACAAAATCCTGGGGCAAGGTTTTTTGACAGTCTTACTAATTTCTTATTTTGTGATTTATATTTATTGTTGTGCATTATTAACACAGAATAATAATAAATGTCACAGATCTGTTTTTCTTCTGGGGTTCGTAGTTCACTGAATAAACAATGAAAACAATTACCATGGGAAATGTGAGAGCACAGGTCACCAGTTCTTTCTTGCTTAAGAATAAACTGATCAGGCAAAGAGTGCTGCTTTTTTTTCTGAAAAAGACAATGGTTATGGAAGAAGTTTCTTACATACTAAGATCAAATAAGGATGTACATTGCTATTTCCTTTTATGGCAACATACTACACACAGAGAATGAGCTGTTATGGTAAAATGAAGTAGCACAATGGATAGTATTTGTACGTTCATGTTTTCTTCTGTGTTTAAAAAATCCTGTTTTCTCATTGACTACAAGCAACAATCGAGATTGCCACATACTAGAACTTTTCTTCTTTGTGGAAATTGATGAAATGCTTATAATGATGAAATATTGTAATGCATTACAGAACTGTTAGCAGATCACATTCTCGAGCAGATAAAGTTGCTGACCATGACCACCTTATCATAGCAGATTACCAATGAGGTTTTCTTGTATGATGGCTTGCATTAATCTGCAATCAGTTTGCATTAATGTTAAGGCTTTGAGCTGTGATGACATACAAACCCCTGAATTAGCACATATAAAATGTACTCTTGTTTTATAAATGTGTTTATTTTGAATGACTAATATACTGATATAAGTGACTTTTATTAACTTTACACTTCCTATTCAGGTCCTCTGGTTTCGTAGTGGCTCTAGTACTTTCTGAATTATAGACTAGTTACAAACTACATTCAGAGTTTCTATTTCTGCTTATTAGCAAGTTGGGAGTTTTATAGGGAAATGTAATAAGTAATGAATTTCAACTTTCTTCAATATTTCTACTTCAGTTCAGAACTTGGCACAATATATAATGATGAATTAGCTTTTAATTTAATTTTAATTTGGCTTTCTTTTGCATATTCATATATCATCTTTCTGCTGGTCTTGGTAACTGGTGTGTGAGAGTAAAATACCAGTTTATGTTTTGTTGAAGGCATTGGACATGAATGTAGAACTTACCGTGAAAATGAGTAGAAATGGGATGTGTACAGAAGAGGAAAGAAAAAATGAAAGTTGAGCAGAAGGCCAAAACTATTCTAGGTTTATAAAGTTGTTGATGCCGTGAACACTTGTAAAGTAATGCTGTTTCAGTGAACTCCTGTTTACACTTGTGCTTACTACGCTCGCGCCTTTCACATGAATTGAGCAGGTGAGATGCGCCGTGCTTTGGCTGCTGTTGCAAATTGTGCCGCCTGTCACTGGGGCTGTTTCACAGCACATGGAATCAGTGCTGAAAGACATTTCCTTCTCTGCATGGTATTTGGTTTCGTCTGCGTGACTGACTTTGCTTCTGAAAGGGAACTTTTCTTACTTTACCCATGTTTAATGCTCTGTTCAGGCTCAGAACATTTGCAGAGGAGCACTAAATTTAATAGATTTTATAATATGTGTTTAAAAAATTGTGTCAGTATCTGTTGAAGTACATATACTACTAGTATGTCTAAATTAATACTACTGTTAGAAATTAAATTCACTAAAGCCACAAGACTGCAGTACTTGCTCTGATTTACAGTACCAGATTTTAATATTAGTTTCACCTCTATAATCCCTGTCAAATGGGTACCAGGGTCAAATGTAGTGACCAGAAGTGATCCAACCTTAATGTAGTATTGAACTCAAAACATATTGAGGTCTGTAAAAGATTTGCATTAACTGTGCTTGGAACAGGTGTGCACCCTTATTGATTTAAATTCACAGTCACTGTAGATACAGATGATGTCAAAATCTAGTGCAATATCCAAATGTCATTGGAAATATTTCAAAATGCATTTTCTTCCTACATTCTGATGGTCATCTTGACATCATGCATTTCAAGGAAAACGTGTATGATATGCCATAAAGTATCATTTTTATAGTAAAGTACTTCTTTACGTTCCATAAGAATCATGTTGTTTTATGAGGGTCAAATACTCATCTAAATATATACATCTATGAATCTAAATATAGATACATATATGCATTTAAGTCTGTTATGCAAGGCATAATGATTGCTGAATAAAAATTGCATATTTGTATATCAAGAATAGGCTTCTTATTTGCTCTCTTGCACATTCAGGAGACATAGAAGAATCCGGTGAAGTAATTTTATTACTCTTTAACGTCCTCATTATGGAACAAATGAGATTTAATGAAGGAGTGACTGACTGGTAGCAGTTTTCATGTGGAGAAACAGAGTGGTATTTTAAGTGCTAATCTCCAATCTTTAGCTATCAATTTTAAGTGATCATATCCATGATCACTTACAATTGATTGGCTCACAATCACTTACAATTGGCTTGGCTGACGTATTTCAGACATTCCATTTTGTTGTCAATTTTAGAACTATACAAAAGCTTGTTTCCTTATCTCTACCAAATTATGTTGTCTTAGTTACTACTCTAGTTGGCAGTCTGAGAATCATAGGAATTCAACTTAAAAGAAACCAAGGTAGTTTTACAAGGTCCTGCATAATACACATACTTTCTTTAAAAAAAATAAACAACTAACTCACAGGAGTAATTGTTACAGAGGAGACCAAAGTAGTGATCCTTATTCCATTATAGAAACAGAGTTTCTACTGATCAGGAATGGAGAAACAACCTTAAATGTAGAGGAAAAGGTCAAGTTTAAGGACTAAAACCTTTAAACAGTGTTATAATTCACACTGGAAAGAAAAAATGTGAAAAAATAACAGTTTTCTTGGTGATTATGTTCTGAAGAGGAGAGCAACTTTGTATAACTTTAGAGTACAAGTGAGGCATAGTTATATTATATTTGAGAAAATACAAACTAAATAATAGCAACTTGAGGGCATGCAAGTTTTAAAAAGTGATTGCAGTTGACTGTAGGCGTCTGTCATTTTTAGGCAATGTGATTTTTATTTTTATTACAGTCATATTCAAGGAAAACATAGTTGTATTTATTTCCTTTGCAACCCTGTCAGCAGTATTTCTTAGAATGGAAGATTGGTACACTGTTGTATTGGAAGGTCCTGAGAAGTTTCAATGTGGAAAATTAATCCTGTATAGATAGGTGTGTCTGTGTGTGTTTTCAAGACATCACAATTTAATAGTAATTTCCCTAACTTATGCTACTAAAGAAGCGGTTTTGATTTTTCCTGTGTTAATGGATGATTTTAAAAAAGGACCTAATCCTATGAAGATGTTTTGGCTCAGTGACTAAAGCAGTGAAATTCTAAGCCATGGTAAGGACAATGGTGTATTCTCAATATATCATTTTGTGCTAGACTCTAAGAGATTTGCATCACTGTATTTTTATTTGCATCACGTTTGAGTGAAACTGTGCAATTGTTAAGAGGGATGGGAATTCTGCAATCACTTTGCTTTTTAGCTGTTTCTGTAACAACTTTGTGGTGTAGTTGCATGGTTTTAAAATTATACTTTCGTATAAAGGGTACATCCGTGATCTTTACTCAGTCCGTCCTCTGTCATTGCAGCTGTCAAACATCACAGGGATTCTTGCTTGAATATGCTTTGAGGGTGGGTTTCTGCTCTTTTGCATAATGGTTGATTGTTGTATTGATCAAGGAAGTGAATACACCAGCAGATAGTAGGGATTATATTGTTACTTTAGCAAGTAAATAACAAAACAAAACAACACTGTTGAAATTAATGAACCAGCAATATAAATGTGCAGTGGCTGTAGTATAGCAACAATCTTTCAGAGGTAATTTGTGCAAAACAGGTCTTACTCCCTCTATCTACCTTCTATTTGGGTCTATTGGGTTTCTTTTACATAAGTTTGACAATGTAATTTCCTATTTCAGAAGTCACATAATGAAAGTAAGGTTTGTGGTAATAGCAGTCTGTTTCCATGTAAAGACCATCTGTAAAGCTGACTGGAGCAGTGGGGCTGTGTGTGTTTCCAGTGGCATCTGCTTGCAGCAGTAGGGCTCACGTGGTGGCACCCAGCAAAGCAAACGTGCATCCAGCGTTAGGTGTTGCTGTACCTTAGCTCATGTTGGAAAAAGCTGTGAACAGCACTTGTATGGAAGGTGAAGTGCATGTGTGTGTGTGTGCTGCTGCTGTTACATGAGGGAAAACTCCATGAACATAAAGACTCTGCTGGGGCTGAATGGGGACTACATGTATAAAGTTCATGTGTGTGATATTTGTACAATGGTGATGTCGCAGAGGAACAAAGTGTTTTGATGTCCAGTATTTTTTCTTTTAACCAATAAGAATCAGAATTTCATACAGAAAATCAGTATGTTGTCAAATAATACCTTGAGTTGCAAGTATCTTTTTCATATTTAACCAATTTAAGATCCCAAAAGAAAAAGAAGTGATAGTGAAAACAGTTCTGTGTTTGTGTACTTGATCATTGAAATGTCATTGCAGTGAGAGTGTGGTTGTGGTAATGGTAAAAGATCAAACCTTTTCAGTCAAAAAATTTTTCAAATCTATCAGTATAAAAATTGAGTGGCAGAAGAAAAAGAATAAGTCCTTTCAGTTTTAGATTTCAGCCTATCAGTGTTGTTTGTTTTGTCTCCATATTTCTGGTTTATTTTTAAATTATTAGGTGGCACTGCATATTTTGAGACAGCTTGTGGAATCTTTACTCATGCTGAAGAGTATTTTTCTCAGCACTGCCAACTTTCACAAATGAGTTCAAGGCTCATAATCTTTTATGTTTTCCTTAAAAATGGAATTTTAATAGTCTGGTGGTTTTTGAGTATTATAGATTTCAGTTAACAGAAAATAAATTTGTAATACTCATTATTGGAGAAGAGGCTCCAAATAGTGCTGTGTGGTTCAGAAGTAGGAGTGATATTTAAAACAAGGTTTTTATGTCATTCATAAATTTGGGTAGGATGATATTTCTCTAGTAGAATACTTAAAGATTCCACAATCTGTTTCTCTGTAACATCATTGTTCCTGTTAATTTTAAAGAAAAAGTCATAGGCTTTATTATTTGTCATGGTTTATCACTTTAATTTTCTACATTACTTTTACATATGCTGGAGTACTGCCTACTGTACATGCCATTGTCACATGTAACACATTTCTTTATCTAACTTTAAATTTGCTGATTTCTTTTTCTGTTTCCATCATTCCGTGCATTTAATTCATTGAAGAGCAAGAGAATTTTAACTCTTCCACAAAAGGTAAATATTTATGTAATTTTTTACAAATGTTTGGCAACTGTTGATACTGACTTTTCCTTCATTATCCTCCATGTCAGGGTATAGGTTTTAATTAACAGCATTAACGTACAAAAAAGGTTGTTTCTCAAATATCTCTATGCTATCTGATGCCCCTCTTTAGAATCTGACAATGGTTTCTCTCATGATTTCTCATGCTCCTATTGAAATGCAATATACTGGATTTAACAGAGGTAATCATGATGTTTTACACGGCTCAGAAGGTGCTTGATTGAGTTAATGTTCACTCAAAGACTTAAGATTTTTCCTAAACTGTTCTTGAGTTCTGCACAGCACGTGTTTCTAGTGATGCAGCCATGGTCCCTGGCAGCAGTGAAGGATGTTTCCTAGGTGTGGACTTAGGAATAGTTAAAGGTGATGATGGTCAGAAACTATTTCTTGTATGCAGGGACATTCTGAAGAATGAGCTGTGTCCTACTTGCAAGTCCCATGTCAGAAAGTTACTCCCGTTGTGGGGCAGGTTTTAGGGGCAGACATACAATGCTCACCTCCTATGAATTTATGCCGTGCTGATACCAGAGAATTAGTGAGCTCAAACAACAGGTTTGTCCCATAAAGTGGAAACTGTAGTCTGTTACATCTCTGTCCAAGCCACATTGCAGAAAAGTCCTATTTTTTTTCCTTTTAGCTGAAGGTAGAAATTACTTCAAAATCCAAATGAAGCATGTAGAGAAAAAAAATTTTAAAAACCCACCCCACCCTTTTAATGCTAAAATCAAAATACTATGCTACATAAATATTACTAGCACTGATTAACATTTTTAACCTTTATACCAGAGTCCTGCTCATCTTGGGAAATTCTGATCTGAATACAGGCTTGGGTGGGTCACAGCCAAGCTGAGTTGAACTTGAATCAAAGTATTTCCTGCAACTACTTTACTTTCTGAAGGAATGAATATTTAGGTAAAAATAAAGCAACTTCTCCATTAGGTATGAACTCCAACACCCATGTCAAACATACAGAAGTATGTTTTCATGATAATGCTAAAAAGAGATTAAAAAGAAATATGTAACTTAGGTGTTAGCAATTATATGTTATTTTTGCAGTGTTTCAAATATACTATGAAATGTCTTAAGAAAGTGCTAAGAGTGGTTGATTTTTCAAATTATTTCTGTCTCAGTATTTATATTTCTCTCAAACAGGACAGTACAAATCAATCTTACCTGTTTGTTGATTATGCCTCTGTCAAGATTTGGGCTGCAGTGGATTTTTTTTGTTTAAAACAATGGACTTTATGCAGACAAACTAGACTGTCTCTAACAGGTTTGTAAAAGAACTTGTTTACACAAGATTTGGTTGGATCTGGCTCAATATCTGGGAATGTGTAGAAAGTGGTGGGATATTTACATGCACAGATTCCTCTGGCTCAAGGGAGCTGATGGCAGATGAAACCCAGGGGCTAAAAAGAGCTGGGCAAAAAAAGAGCAGCCAGAAGAGTGAAGTGCCAGCAGATCTGGGGGACCATAAATATCTTAATTTGAGCTGATTTACACTAGTAGCCCACTGTAACTTCTTACAAGAGGTAAAAAGAATAGACAGGTGAGTTAGAGATTAGGATGGGGGAGTTACAGGATGTTTTATGAAAGGAGACATAAATGTGAGGGAGAGCATATACTACAGAAGTGAACACTGACCATATGAGTCTGCAACACAGCAAACATCTGTTCCATGTAATCAATGTAAAAGGTTGCAATAAAGTCTTCATCAGATTATGAAAATGCTGGGGGTTTTTTGCTGCCAAAATCAGTGGTTTGTTGTTTTGTTTTGCTTTTTTGGGTTTTTTTCCCCCCTAATTTTAAGAGGTCTGTGTTTGTTTTCTTGTTGTTTCCTTTTACATAGGAGCTTCTCTGTGGATCACCCCTGAAGCTCTTTGAGAAAGAACTGAATGTTGCATCATCCAGTTCAGGTTTCTATATCTTCCTTCTGGAGTGAGTTGTTAATCTCACGGTGGCCACCATGCCTCTGTGTGTACTGAGAGATCCGAGCTCATCTCCCAGCTTGGAAATCTGACTATGTGCCTTGATGTGCCTTAGTTATGACTGGGAGGAGGTCCAGAGAATTATCAGCTCCCATGGAAAGGAAATCCATGCACACAGTCTTGAAGTAGCTACAGTAGGTTCTGATCAGGAAGAGCAGGGTTCAGAGCCATCTCCCTCACTATCTGCATGTTGCTATTATTTTTTTAAGTTGTTGACTCAAAGAAGTCATAGAAAGTTCTTCATCTCAGCAACAAACTGATTTTTCAGTTTTACTTACCTTATATTTCAGAACATTTATCTGCTTGTGATTTTGTGTGCTTTTTAAATTTCTTGGTAGAGTTTGCTGTGAATTTTTAATTTTTTTTATGAAATGTATTGCAAGGATATTTTGTGTGTGCATACTGCAAAACTCATCCTGCAGGATCAATAGAAATGAACTAGAGACTCTCTGTATTATTTCTGAAATGGATCATCCTGGTCCAACACCAGTGTGACTTTTCTGTGCCACACAGCCGTCTCTGCACTAGAGGACTCTCCCATCCAAATCTCATTGCTGCTTTATTTCCTTGCCTTTGGTATGGACATAACTTCTGCCTAGGTTCTTCCTCAGCTGCCACTTCTCAAACCAGATATTTTTTATTATTTATATATAATTCCTTAAACCAGATAGTTATTTTCCCCCTGATTCCCATCCACAGAGCATCTAAGTTGCTCTGACAGATTAATTTCTTAGCTTTTGCTGTGTAGAAATTCTGTGTGCATGCTTCTAGATGGCACTACAGCTGTAGCTGTTTGTCACTGTTCAACCTTTCCTCTTAATATGAATACTGAAATTGAAGAATAGGTCAAAATCTCTTGTCTTCTGGAATAAGTGAAGTTCTTTGTTCCCCTACCTGAACCTGTTTGGTTTGCCCCAGAAGTATTGTTATTATAAGTTTATGAGATAAATTTTAACTTCAACTTAATTTTCAGTACTTCATTATGTAAGAAATCTTTGTGTCATTTTAGACTTCTAGACCTTTTCTCTTAAAGTTTGCATCATAAAGGATGGATGTATGATATATTCTGGAAAGAGTTGCAGCTATCTGAAATCTTGATGCCAGTTTCTTTGTTATGTGGCTTATTCAATAGTGCAGGCAAGACTTGGAGGTTTGCCAAGTCATAATGTTTGCCTGCACCTCCTTGTTCTGTCTTGACCATCTTGAAGAGAAATATGAAGTGCCTCAAGAGAAAAGTCTGCCTTTTTTGTAGACTTCATTGTTACAGAAAATGGTATGGCCAGTGCTAAGACATCATAGGTTTTCTCTACCATCTAGAAAAGCACAGTATGGTTACCAGTTTGAATCACAGACCATGTAATGTCACCAGTCATTCTGGCATTAAGCCCATACTTGCTTTCAGCAAAAATGTCCTTTTAGAAAGGTATTTTCACTTAATGCGTGCAAGGGATGGAAATTTGTTCCTGGGCTTAATCACCTGACTTTTTAAACATATATCTTGTTACTTATCTGATTGACCTACCCTTTTTGAAATGTATGAGGGGATTCTTATTAGATGTTATATATTGACCAAATACACTGTTTTCCAAAATTTTCAGAATGTAGAGTCTCTTTGATGAATGTTGCAATGTGAAAGAAGTGGATTTACAAAGAGTTAGAGCTCAAGAATAAAAAAACTAGAACTAGAAAGGCAGATACAGCATTTTTGCTGTTTCTTGCTAGTTCCTTATTGCTGCCTGTTATACAATCCTTATTTAAATGATCCCACATAAGTTTCATGCATTATGCTGTTAGCCTAATAGATGGGTGTTTAAGGCATCACGTCGTTTGGGAATTTTGCATCTAGCATGGAGTTTAGACCTCCTTTTAAACCTTAAAGGGAGAACTCTAGACCGTAAAATTACTTCTCTTTCACTGGCCACTACTATTAGTGCTGCTTTTGTAGCTCTCAATGATTTTCGTAGGGTTGGTCTATTGTTAATGCTAATGCAAGTTTAATTTCTTATAAAGTCATATTTCTTGAATCGTTAGATTCATATTCTGTGGATAACAGAAATATGCCATATGACACATCTGTCTAGAAAGGTTTCATTAAAGAAAAAAGGAAAACTTTATCTGCCCTACTACATCTGATATATTAGTACAGTACATTGATTATTGTGTTATTTTGTACATAATGGAAAAGGTAGTGTATATTCTGAGCATTTAGGATTCTAGCCACTTCTAACTTCTCCCTCAGTTGAATATCCTTTAGGGGTTGAAACATGCCCTTGGTAGTTTTCTAAGGTTAGTAATAAAGATGAGGGCTGTTAAGTAGTTAGTGGCACCATATATAACTCTATAAATCTTAACATTATAGTCATATGTTAAAAGGAATGTGACTAGCACATAAAATCTTAGTAAACAGGTGAAGTCTTAGAAAAATTAAGTGGCTATCTCCTTTAAGAAAAAAAAAAACCCCTGTTAGTCTGTCCTAATTTTCTTTGAGAGTAGATTGCAGGCTGAAAATAAGATCTGTAGCTATTTTCTTTAGTTTATTCCATGCCTCCTTTGAGTAGTGTCCTACAGAATTGCATATAGTAGACTATCCCCAGTTTTATTGCTGAGTATGATGCTATATGGTATGGAGTGGTCCCTCTGGTCAGTTGGGGTCACCTGTCCCACCTTTTTCTTCTCACAGCCTCCTTGGGGGCAGGGGCAAGCCAGGACAGGGCAGGGGGCTGCAGCATGAGGAACAGAGAAGGTCTCGGTGCCATGCAAGCACTGCTCAGCAATTGCTGAAACACTGGTGTGTTATCAACACTTAGGCACAACTAGAAGAACAGGCAGCTGTGAAGAAAACTGCCTCCATCCCAGCCAGACCCAGTACCCCTGGGATTACAGGAGTCAGATGGGTTTAGATTAATGGAATTGAAATATAACATTTTGATTCCATTCATATGTGTGTCTTTTCTCTCCTGCATGGCTTGATTGTTTATGTACATCATGTTGTTAACCTTCACGTGATTTGTTAGTAGCAAGCTTTGGCTACAAAGTTGTACCCTTTATTTAAGCAGTCTGATCAATGAGTTCTGTCAATTACTTTTACACTGATCAATCTCACATCTGAATTATCAGCCCTTGAAGACATGAGAGTTACAGCTCTTTGAAGTGTGACTTCTGACACCAGAGAATAACACGTTGGCACAACTGGTACTGATTGTACTTGTACCACTATTTTGAGAAACTTATGGTAAATCTTCATTTTTTTAATGCTAGAGCCACTCTAAAGGTCTTGAGATTACAGTGCTTTGATCTGCAAATTACTGTGTAGTTCTACCTCTCAAGACCTCCAGGAAAAGCACTCTGTAAATAGTGATGCCCTAAAAGAAAGCAGATCCATATTTTTCTGAGACAAGCTAAGTACTTTTTATGTCAAGTTTTTGTTACCTGTGGTAACCAGCCATGTTCCAAGAAAGCAATGTGATCATATGGTGTTGTTACCTATGCTTGTTACAGTTTTGCTAATGTGCTTTTGCTCCTGTGTTAGACTTTTTTCTGCTTCTCATGATTAACCTGTAAAGGTTTTCCCAAGCCACTAGTCAGGCAGATAAAAATTTTCCATCACACAACTAAGCTACATTTAACATATGCTCAGATGTTCATGGTAAATAAAGCTGGAAAGAACACAGTTGGATTTTCTAGAGTAGTTTCATGCAACTGCATGCTTAGAAATAAATTCACAGCTAATTGGTGCTAAATTGCATTATACTTCACAAAATCAAATTTCTTCATTAGAGAATTTAGATTTACTTCACAGTGCTCATTAATTGTTCTCACATTCTTTGATATAGTCATATATATATAAAGGAAAACCAGAGCATAAATGTGTTAAGCTTAAGGATTTAAACATAACAAAAATCAAGAATCACAGAATTGAGATTGAATATTTACTCAGTCTTGACTGAAGTAGTAACCTCTGAAATAGCACTAAATTACATAACAGAATATCCTTTCCCAGGTACCATAGGTAATACAGGGCAACATATCATATAAATTATTTAATATAACATACAGTTGACAGGCTAAAGGACCTAAAATTCACACAATGAAGTTAGAGAGTAACTCTACTCTGTGCACCATACACATGTAGGGCTAAATTTTTAAAGGGGTCTCATTTTTCCCTCTGATTTCATATCCTCAGTCTATTTCATGCATGTATGATAGGATTAAGATACCAATTTTTTTTACTTCAGTCCCTAATTGATCTATCTTAATCCTTTCATATCTGTCCTTAAAATAAGAGGCCATCTTTAAAAATTTCACCTAAAGTGCTCAATTTTGCCTTCAGATACCTCCATGCAACTTCCATTGAAGTAATTGGAGCTGTGCCTGCATATCTGATGGTGGGACTGGACTCATTGCAATTAAGGTACACATTTACTGGCATAATTAGTCATCTGGAATAATTGCTGGGCCCAGTGTGACATTCTGCATGTGCAGAATTTGCTAGATTGGACTCTGCATTATGGGGGACTGAAGATAATGATAATTTTATTTCATGCCTTAGATTTGTAATTGTAGTAGAATTTTAATTTAGTTTGAAGTACTTAATTTTCTTATTTTTAAATAAGAAATGTGGAAGAAATTCACAATGATGCCCTTGTATATATTTTCATACCCAATCAGCACAGAGACATTCTATCATTTCCACGAGCATGTTACAAATGGTATGTGCAGGCACAATTGTGATGATTTGTGCAGTAGCTTATAGTTTAAAATATCCAATCCTGAGTGTAGTGCTTTTTTTTTTTTTGCCTTGTATTTTTGTGCTGCTAAAGGACAGACAAAAAAAAATCTGTAAATAATGGCACAATGTATAAGTAACACCATAAAAGCCACACATGAGAACTTTAGTACTTCTTAATTGAAAATACATAGAGTACTTATTTTCCAGTAATTTAAAATTATCTGTGTTTTGTGATTGCAAGTTGATTACAGGCAGCTTTAAATATAGGTGTCTCTCTCCTGTCACTGATCTGGGGAGGGGCTCTTTCACTTACAAATTAGTTGTTTTGTAGAGAGCAATATAAATCCACGATTGGCGCAAAAGCAGAAGATTTTGTGGACGGTGCCTCAAATAAAATTGAATTTGTGACACATAAAAAATTCCAACTTAAAAGAAGTTTTTCTGAGATGTTATAACCTGTTAAACCGCAATGAACGTAGCGAATTCCTGTGATTTAGAATAGTTGCTGATAAATATTTGGGTCTAGTTGTAGAACTGCTAAAAAGTGACAGTTTTCATGGTATTGATGTTACCTGTATTGCTTTGAATTTAAAATGCTATGAAGCTTAAGAATAGCAGAATATATAGATCCCTCTGAAATTTATTTGCTACCACGTAGGTTAAGTTGCTTGGAGGAAGCCTTGGCCCAGGGGCATTTACAGCACTCTGTTAGTGCGAGGTCGAATGCCTGTGGCAGGCACAGCCAATATGAATTGCCATAACTTGCTCAAGTTGAAGAAGATGCTCTTTATAGCACAACAACTCCTTGAAGGTACAAGATACGTGTTTTTAAAGAAACACTGCCATATGGAAGTTGAAAACACAACAAATAATTATTTGAAGTAAAGGTGATCATTGCAGAACAAAGTAGTGATTTTAAAGGAGGTCTTGTTAAAAAAAACCAAACTACTAGAAAATTACTGTGGTTTTGATATGACTGGTTGAATGGAGAAATTATTCCTCTCAAATAGTCTTAGCTATGTTTCAAGATAGTAGGAGGAGTTAATTACTCTAAAAATAAATTTTAATACCTGTTTCATGCATTAATTATTAGAATGCTACTGTATTATTTTCTATGTTTAAACAAGCACATGCTTAGATGATCATGGATTTACATCCCTTGCATCCAGAATATTTAACAGGTGTATCATTCAGCCTGCCACTTAAGTTTTTTCAGTCTTTTCATATCTGTTGCACCAGCTTGATTATGTGTAGAAATTGGGATGTCTGCCCATTTTCAGGTAAAGACTCGCGCAATAAAAGTGGTTGATTTCTTGACATTAGTGTTCCTTTGTTCTGTGCTTACACCCTGCTTGTTCTACATGTTTGTACATTTCTTTGTTTTGTTGAAATGGAAATGAGCTAAAATTGTTGCTAAACCATTTGCTTTTTCCAAAACTTTTTCTCTATTTTTAATTGATTTTCATTGTGTGTTTTTGCAGCAAGCTTAGTAGTGGAGGAGCGAACGAGACAGATGAAAATGAAAGTGCACCGTTATAATCAGACATCAGGGTCTGGTTCTAGCCAAGAACATGAGCGTGAGCAATATACCAAGGTAAAGTCAGTAGTCTTGGAATGATACTTTGGCTTTAACATTGAAGGCGTAGACTTGTTTATTTAACATATTATCTAACCTTCAAGAACACTGTATTTTAAATCCTGACAGAAATGTTTTCAAGTAACAGCTTTTTAGCATCACTTGTGCCCCCTTCTGATGTGTATTAGTCTTTGACATCAACTAAAATGAATCTGGAAAAACCAATGTGTTTAAAAACTTCAGGAAAGCTTTTCAGAATTAAAAAGTTCAGGAAAGAAAGTTCCTTCAACAGCTGTTAAAAAGAGGCTTATCACATCTAGCTTATGAAGTTGTTAGATTTCCAATCCCTAGAGTGTGGAAAATAGGGCCATGAAAGAGTAGGTTGGCCCTTGTTGCTGTCTGATGTGGAGAAAGCTAGACAGAACAAGGTCCAATCTCACGCAGATGTTCACATATTTGTATAATGTTTTTGCATCCTAATAGTGTCAGAGATAAATTATTTCCTTTCTTGAAGTGCCTACTGATTACTTTGGTTTCCTTTTCTAATAAAAGCATAAAGAATTTCTGTGATAATAGAATATATTGAAATTAGGTTAACAAAGTTGTAAAGAGGGATTTTGTTTTCTTGATAAGGCTAAAATGATAGACCATAACTTTGTAATTTAAACTCTATAGGGTTCTAAGCAAACTGATAAAAATGTCTTGCACATCTGCACTGCTGCTTACAAATCAAGCTGTGAGGAGCTGGATGCTCCTGAAGATACAGGTTAAAATAATGTATAAGTGAGGTACTCATCTAAAGCAAAATCACAAATTTACTTTGGAATGGTTAAATAGGAAATCTGGCAGCTAAATTTTAATACCTAACAGATTTGAAGGATTGGTTCAAGATCTTGTTGCAGTTAAGTATGCGGACAACTTTAATAAGAACTTAAATGAACAGTTCTCAAAAAGAAGAGAAACAAGAGAAACAAGGCTTTAAGTTCTGAGTGGCCAAATTGTGGGATATCAGTGCTGTTAAAAAACTCAACAGTAGAAATTTCCAATGAGATCTTCTCTCAGAAGAAGGAATTTGTTTAATTAAAACAACTCAGTTGCTGCTGGGTTTGCTGCTACCTTCAAAAGAGGTCCTCTCAGGGTAAGAGGGTGAGATGCAGTGTCTCTGTGGTACTTCCCAACCACTTAACAAGGTAAAAAAAATAGGGTTGGTAAAATTTTCATTTGAGAGAGGCAATACGCAATCTGAGGACTTTTGCTAGGATGACCAGAGACCTTTGTTCAGAGTCAAAGGCCAGGTTTCTGAGTTAGATTATATGTTACAGATTGATTAAAATTTTTGTATTTATCATTCTTAAACATATTTTTAATCCTAATTCTCTAATATTTATGATAAGCATCGTTTTGACCCTCCAATATATTTTTCTTATTTGATCAGTGTAGTTCCAATGTATGGTTAAATATTTGTTAGAAAACATCAACCTGCAATGTTACAAATTTCTCTTATCCTTAGAATCTTGAGGTTTTAGGGTCTTCTTTTGGTTTTAAATGCATGTGCAAATCAAAAGAGAAATCATGATGAGTACTGAATCAAAAGAACACTGAAATTATTTTATTCAGAATTTTGCTTCACTTCACTATGGTGACAGTCATCACTTTAAAAATGCTACCAAAGCAAACCTTATGCTACTGTCTCTCTATCCTGAGAAAATGGTGAAAGAGTCAAGAAAATAGCCAAGACAGATGAAGATTTGGACATTTGAAAATGTAGTATGTTATATCAGCTGTTGTGGTAAAGCTGATGACTGAGACTTCTCAGAATTGAAGACTGTACCCAATTTCTGGTGCCAAAATTTGTGAAAAATCTTTGAAAGCTGCAGAAACAAGACTGACTTTAAATAAAAAAATAAAAAATATTAAGTGGTATAATAGGCATTCTGGAATAGTGAAAAAGAAATATTTACTGACTATTCAAGAAATAGCAATTGCAAGTAGAGTTTTTCCCTCTTTAACCAAAATGCTTCTTTCTTTCCTAAATAGCAGTGTTTTCCCATTGCTCCAGAAAATAAATATATTTATTAGAGAAATTATACTGTTCTGAACATTGAGAAAATAGTTCATTCTGCATTTCAGAGCAATCAGCTCACATGGGTTTGATTCTTCCAATATTTTTACATTTGCAAATATGCTTGTTTTATTACACACAAAATTTTCTAAACCATTCAAAAATTTTCCTTCAGTATGGGACTGGATCATATTTGCAATGGTTAATTATGCATATACAAAATAATTCCTGAAAGTTAAATAAATTTTCTCTTATATTGAAACAAGCCTTTTTTAAACAGAGATGTTGTAACTGGTCCTTTGCAATTTCTTGTCAATTTCTGATGCATTACAGTTTTGGAATTTTTCCCACTCAGTTTCTTAAATTTCTAGTTACAGTAAGCAAGCAATGATTTTCCAAATATGCACTATGCAGGTTTCCATTTTTAACATCCATTAATGGATTTTGAATAGGCAACAGTCTGCCCTGCAACATTCGTATATGTCTTCATGGCTGTTCCACTCTCTTTTGAGATTTTCACAGAGCTCACATCTTTATTTCTTCCCAGTGTACTGAAAAGACTCCATAATTTATGTGAAACAGTTAACTTCTAATAAGCTAAACAAAAAAAAACCAAAAACAAACAAACAAAAAAAAAACACAAAAAAAAAAAAAAAGGAAAAAAAAACCCCAAAAAAAAACCCCCAAAAAACACCAAAAAAAATTAAAAAACCACCAGACCTCTGAGGATTTTTCAAAAGCATTTAAAGAAGAGCTTTAAACATGTCTGCCTTCTTTCTTATATATTGGTGAGGCTGTAGTGGCTAGTGTGCACATATTTGTGCTGTTTCAGTGCTTGAAAGAATCAAAACATTTGTTGGCATAATTCTGGATTTGCACAGAGGTGAATTACAGTGTAACTCAATTATCCTTTTAATTCAAAATACAGTAAGTGTTTTTATTCTATATGGCCCACATAGAACACAAACACGATGCTTGCAGTTGCTCTGGTTTAGCATTTTTTTGGAAGTTCTGTTTATTCAAGAGAGTTACTGATTAGAGCACTGTAATGTGTACTTAAAAAGGATATCACTCTATATTTAGATGCAGTACTGGTTTAAGACTGTATGTGATTGAAAAGCATTTAGCATAAAAGTGTAATCATGGCATTTGTTCAGTGGCAATGTGGATTTAACTCAATAGTTGCTGTCTTAGCTTATGTGTTAACAGTTAATGTCTAAAGCAGGGGCTGGGTAGGATACTTGGGCTGACAGGAGGCTGATTGTATTAAGTTTTACATCATACTGGGTAAGGCATCTAGGGCTGTATATAGAAAATGCTTTTGGACATGGATGTGACATCTTCTTTTTGTCCCCTTCACCCACCTTGAAGAAAAAAATCTTTAATATGTGTTGTGTTAAAATGACAGTCACTCCAGTGCTGGCTGGATTTCGCAGAATTTAGTCAGTTCCATTCATTTGACCTGTGAGCTTCACTGCAATTTCCTCCTAGTTTGACTTACTCAATTTTACTGTTCCCTGTTTGGGAGCTGAGCTGTGTTCATAGGAGTTGGATACAATTGTAGGAAGGGTTTTTAGAATCACTGGTGCTTAGTGGCCTCTGGACCACGGCATGAGCTGCTCCTGAGATAGAAGCTGGTGGGAGTCAGTGGTGAGTCCTGAACACCCTAAGGTGCCAGCTGCTGGGCTGTGAATGCCAGCAGCATTCAGAGCAACCCCATGTGAGCAATCATAAAGCTGAAGGTGCTTTGTGGAGGATTCAGTGTTTTCTGACAAAATTCCTGATCAGTCTGCCTCAAAAGATAGCTGCGATCTCAAGACTTGTGTAGTCCCTGGATGAATCTGTGCATCTGGTCTGTATTTGCCTTTCCTCATGTTAATGACCTCATTTTAAACCCATTTTATTTTCTCATTTAATTTCCTCATTTTAAGCACATAATGAGGTATATATTTGTCAAGGTTAGTCACCTGGGGCTTTTTTTGCAAAGGACAGCATACTCATTTAATTTTCAAAGCTCTGAAACCATTCTTCATGGTTTTGGAAGTTAAATCGAGGAATATGAATACTTCCATATTAGAAATACTTTCTAATAGGAAAGATAATCCAATTATAATGAACTGTTAAATAACTTCTAAGATGTGCCTTATAATCAGTAAAATTGCTAACATTGTTAGTCATGAAGAAGCTGTAAAATAATTTGTGAAGTACATTATTTTGGTTTGTGTCTATGCTCTTTCCATTGATGTTAACACATCTGCAGTTCATCATACCCCTTTTTTCTCCTTTTGCTGGTGAGCAAGAAGCAGCAGCTCCACAGGTGGTAAGGTGAATGGAAGAACTGCATTCCAGCTGTTTATAAATGTCTGCTTTTGTAATGCAGGCAAGGAAAGCACAGATATTTTTGGCATTTGAAACTAGCTGTTATTAATGTTTAAAAAAACAGACCTACTCTTTAGTAATTGCTATTGAAGTTGCAGCCAACTTCACTGACTCTCTTAATGTGATGAATTGCACACCTTGGAAAAGAAATGTTACATAAGCTTTAAGATAGAGAGTTGAAAGAGAAGTGGTCACACTGAAAATATACTTCATTTTGAAGCTTCAAAATGATGTAATGTTTAAATATAACGTCTCAGGGAAATTTATTGCAAATATATGAGCAGTTTCAAAGAGCAGCAGTTTTTTTGCTTTGCAGCAGAACTTTATCATATTATTTTTGAGCTCAGTTGGAAACCTGCAAGCATTACTTCATTGCAGGTACCATATAAGAGGATATTAGCCCATGTTATTTTTCTTCTGAATTATACATTCAGGTGTATTGCAGCAGTAAAATATTCTCAGTTTAATGAGCACTGCTTTGTGGAATAGTGCTATTTATTTCTCTCTGTATTTGAAGGGAAAAAAAGGGTAACTTCAAAATTGCCTTTATTTTGTTCATCTGTTAGCTATGATGACTGATTGTCAGATTGTATCAGAGGTAGGTAGGAAATCAGTAGGACAAATTGTATGCCTCCTGTAGAAGTCTGTGAATTAATTAGGAGCAGCAGGTATAAGAAAAAGCTAAATCCAGGAGCAGTGGTAGTAAAATGTAAACTCTGTAGCGCTCAGCATTAATTTTCAGCATCACTACTTTTTGTGCTAATCTCTATTTCTGTGAAGGGAAAGGTTTTCAGTTTCCTGGGAATCACAGCCATGGCATACAGTATAAAGGGATAGGAAAAGCTCAGCCATTCCATGAAAATCTCATTTAGGAAGGGATGCTCCATGTTTTTTGCAGTAGCTGTGTAATTGCAATACAAGGCAAGTAGAAGACATGGATTCAGTTTTTTCTTTATGTCCCATCTCACTGTAAAATTCTCTGTTTACCAAAATATTAAAAACTGTCTTTTAAGCCAGTCTGATATCTACAAAATAATTCAATTTTTCAGACTGCTGGACTATAGGGAGCAAAACAGAGTGAGGGTATCTACATAGCCCCACTTACAGGATGATACCATAAAGGGCTGAAGACCTCTGCTCCAGTAAATGGTTTCATATTGATACTGAACAGTCAATTGATGAGGCTGAATCTCTAAAAAGCCACTGATACACAAACTGATACTTCTAACTTCTCTCCCAGTATTCTAACCAGTAAGATGCACAACCATGCTGGATGCTTTCCCTCACTCCCCTCTCCCCATCTTCCTCAGCCCACCTAGCTACCCCATGAAAGGTGGAACAAATTCAGTACAAGTGAAACAGAGAGTCTTTTTCCTGACATACCCAGTCCCTCTGTTGAATCATAAGTTGAATGCTAACAGCTAGATTCAGGTGTGGCTTGGAAAAAAGGCCAGCAGCCAAAACCTCCCTCAATAAGTAGAAGAAATGCTTCCAGCAGGACAGCTTCCAGAAGTCGCTGCATCTGGCCTTGGTGGTTCTCTGGTGGGGGAGTCTGCCTTCTCCAGCAGCCTGTCATGGTTGCTCAGGGACCACCTACGTCTTCTACTACTGCAGGTTCACTGTGTACACTCTCAAACAAAAAGCCACAAAGAGAATATGGACTATTGGTGAGGAATAGAAGCAATTGGACATTATAATGGCAGAGGGAAGAGGTCAGATTGCCTTCAGCTAATACAAAAAAAAGCATGGAGGTATTTCTGAAACAGTCTGATACTATATCTAAGAAACCCCATGCATTTGAGAGAGGTTGTTTGGTTATATTTTAAACAAAGAATTTTTTTGAAACCTCAACTTCAAAGGAATAATTTGTATATATAATCTCAATTTGTGGGATGGGTGAAATCCTTATTTCACTGGAATCAACAGAAATTTAATATTTAATGAGCTGATTTTACAGATTGCAAATCTGTTTAGCTTAATGGAAAGCCAGATCATTCCATGTGTTCAGATGGTTTTCATATTTTTATATGTCTCATTTAGAGTAGCTTGAAGGATTCTTTAGGAATTCTTTAGGAATTTTGCATAAAACATCAAGTCTGATTCAGGACTGGGGCGATTTAACTTAAGCTGGAGAGAAATCACCATTCAGTTTTCTAGCCTCTGAATGTTTATATTTAGCCTATGTAAAAAGTTTCCAAACTTGTATTCTTGCTTTGAATATTTTTTTAGACTTTAGAAGGAAAACATGATATCTTATTATGAAAGAGGTCTGATAAGAATTAGTATACTTTGTGTTTCAATTTTGAAGTTACCATTTTATCTTGCAGTCTGAAGGATAGCAATCAGCAAAATTGTTTAACAGACTCTGCAAGCCATTAACAAAAGGTGATTTGAATAAACACATCAGCATAGTCTCCCCCAACTGGACATTTATATTCAGTAAAGTCAGAAGTCACTTGTAAAGAGAACCTTCTGATAAATTCCTGCTGTAGTTGAAAACTTTTTTGAACATCATGGTACTTGATTCCTTTCTGTTACCCATTTTCTTAAAGTCACAGCCTTGTCTCCTGCAGATGTTTTTACTCAGCCACTGCGAACCCTTCGCTGGGTACTGCTTTGAGTTTCTGCTAAGCAGTGTTCTAATGCACACCTGAAAAACAGTGAGACAGTAAATGTATATAACCTCCATTTGTCCTTTAGATGTCTATATTTACAATTGGTGCTTAGAATTGCTTTATTCTTTCCCCTTCTCTACTCCTATTGACTTCCTCATTTTATCTTCAATGTTTTACCAAGAGGTTTCCGAGTGTGCACAAGCATAGCTGCTGAAAGGCACTGGAGCAAGAGAAGATAAACCTGGCTTAAGGAAAGGAGACCTGACACATTCATCTGTACAAACTCAAGCTTGTGTTTGCCAGGTTTTTGAAATTAAGTCATGGCATCTGCTGAGTGATTCAGCCAGCAACCCAGTGCCTAGTTGGAGTTTGTATATTCACAGACAGCCACAGATTTGTGTATTATTCTCAAATAAACTTTTATGACTTGTAATTTTACAGAGCACAGATCTAAAAAATGAACTCCCTAGAGTGTCATGTCAAAAACTGCCTAGTGCTCCTATGTGTTAATAGTTTTCCCATAATGTACCCTGGGAAGTATATCACAGGTTTAGTTGCTTTCCAGCCAAGACTACCTTCCTCTAATGACAGTGAGTTTTAGTTTTGTGAGCCTGAAAACTATTTGGTCCTCATATCTGTATGAGTGAAAATTTAGGTAAGTGTGACATTGCTAGGATTGAAGCTTCCTTTTGTACTTGTCTGACTGATGGTGTCACAGTTGATTTGAAAAGTGAACTATCTTCTATGTCTGTCCACATATTCCTCCTTCTAGCTCTTAGGCATGTGCAGATGTAAAAGCAACTAGATCAGGGAATTGCCTGGAAAAAAAGACTGTATTTACTGAGTTAGCATTCTGCCAAACTAGTCCTCTAGTATCACATTACAAAGAGAAATTTTGACATAGAAAATGTTTTGGGTTTTTTTGGTTTTGTTTTTTTTTTGTAGAGTATAGGAACTGATATCAGTCCCTAATACCCTCATGTAGCATTACATTTAATTCAGGTTCATATGCAGTTTATGTGCAGGTATTTCATAGCATATATTTTTAATATTTTAAAAATGTAAAAAATAGTCTATAGCCAAATAGATGGTATGCATATACTTGAGATGTCTGTCTGCTGCATAAATATTTCATATAAATATTTCATTGTTGTAGTTCTAGTGCGCTGAAGAACCAACAGCCTATTTAATTTCCAGTGTGTTATTTTATTCCGAGTATCTTCTTTGTCCATAAATAACATGTTTCATTTCTGCACTAGACATAAAGGCATTATTTAATGTAGGCATATCTTTGAATATCATACAATTTTGTTATATCTAAAAGCAGTTAAAGAGAATTGTCATACTTAGGTCATGTGTTGTCTCAATGAATGCTTTCTGTTTTGATGAGACTGCTCACCCTTTCTTTTCTTGATCTCTAGTATAATATACAAACAGATCAGTACAGAAGTTGTGATAACGTCTCTGCCAAATCATCAGATAGTGATGTCAGTGACGTGTCAGCCATTTCCCGAACCAGCAGTGCCTCTCGCCTCAGCAGCACAAGTTTTATGTCAGAGCAATCTGAGCGCCCTCGGGGCAGGATCAGGTGAGTTCTCCATGCAGCTTCCATTGCATCCCACTCCTGCTTTCACTGAGTGCCAGAACACAACCAGAAATTCTTGAAACTGGATAACCACAACACGAGAATTTGTGAAAAATGTTATGCACATATAAACTGTCTTCCATGACTGGCCTAAGATGACAATAGTTTTGCAGTTGTGCATCCTAAACAGAAAGCAAACTTCCATGAGAAGATGATAGATTAATGTATATATCCCACTTGAACCTGAACACAGGCTATCCTCTCATTGTTGGCTAAGAATGAGAGTAATCAGTATGTCCGTAAGGTATTACACCAGAAATATTACTAGATTTTTAGGTTTAGCAGTTTTTTCATAAAAGCTTGGTTTTTCTTCCTCAATATGTTTTTCCCTACCTACATGCCTTTATTTTGCTGTTTTCATGTGCGTGACAAATTACTAGATTTTAAACTATTATTCATGTAGTAATTTTGATATTTCTTTTTCAAAAGTAGTTTAATTCATTTCCATTATCAATAATCAAATACATCTTTCATCCTTGATACTACTCTATTCTGAGCTTAGGGCTTTTTTGGATGCACACATTGGTTTTTGTTTTCATTTAACTTGATGACAAAACTCTCAGCAACTACAACGGCTCTAGGATTAGCTTGATAGTCTTTGATTACATTTGCCAGTTCCTGAACTGTCAAAAATTTGACTTTAGGTATTGTAAAACACAAGAAGAATTATGAACTGTAAAAAACAAAATCATCCCTACCAGGAAATCTGCCTAATATAAGTCTGGAAGGCATCATTTGCCACTCAGAACACTTGTAGACAGACTCAGTGTCTGAGAAGATCAGCTGCAGGAGTTTGGTATGTTTATGCAAAAGGAGGGAATGTTAGGAAAACTCAGAAACTGGCCTCTGTGTTTGAGCTAGATACACCTCATTTTCTTTTCAAGGAATGTTCACAAGCATGTTTAAAGTCATATTTCAGATTGGTGGAGGTATAAGCTGACAGCTGCAGTAATCCATGATCCAGCAGAACACTGCAGTGGAACCATAAATACATTTAAAGTAATTTCAATTCATGTCTTTAAATGCTGCATTTGGTCATGTCTTAGCTTTTCAGTATTTGACTCCTGCAAGGGTTTTTTTCATACCAAAATACCTTATTTCATAGACACAGAATTGTTCCTACAAGGGTTTTTTTCATACCAAAATACCTTATTTCATAGACGCAGAATTGTGCTGGGGTTGTTTAGCCTGGAGAAAAGGAGACTCAAGGGTGACCTTATCACTCTCTCCAACTTCCTGAAGGGTGGCTGTGGTGAGCTGGGGGTCAGTCTCTTTCTCCGGGCAACAACAGATAGAGCAAGAGGACACAGTTTCAAGCTGCACCAAGGGAGACACAGGCTAGATTTAAGGAGGAAGTTTTTCACAGAAAGAGAGGTCAAATACTGGAATCGTCTGCTCAGGTAGGTGGTGGAGTCACCATCCCTGGATGTGTTTAAAGAAAGACTGGATGTGGCACTTGGTGCCATGATCTAGTTGAGGTGTTAGAACGTGGGTTGGACTCGATGATCTTAAAGGTCTCTTCCAACCTAGAAATTCTGTGATTCTCTCACAGTGTGTTTGTCAGGTTCAACAAAAATGGGATTTTTTCCCACAGATATGTTTAACAGATTTTATCAGAAATAGTCCTTGAGTTCCAAATACCTGATCATAAATATCAGGACTGGGAGAGCCAGTAACCTTGTGTGAGCCTGGCAAGGGTGAAACCTGGACTCAAATCCTCAACCTCTTCCATTCTTAGGAGTAGCAGGGCACTTTGGGTGCAGGATTGGGTGACCTAGTACACAAAGCCAAGTGTCTGCAGTGGGAGTTCCAGTTCAGCTTCACTCTAGACCAGTAAAGTGAGATGTAATTGTAATTCAGATGCCTTTCCTTCCTGATACTGTCCACAGGATCAATAATCAGAATCATTAATCAGAAATTAGATGCTTTTTGGTTGCTTGCTTTAATCTTCTCTAAATTCAGGTAGTATTTCCATAGTGAAGAAAATGTGTAGCAATAACATACAATGCAGTTCCTTCAGTAAAAATATGAGGAAGAAATTGAAAGATTGGGGAAAAGGTTGATTGTTTTAGGAGCAATTTTTTTCATCTTAAGATTCATGCTGTGTAAATCCAGCCTTAAAAGCTATGTATCTTCAGTGGAATTCACCTAAAAATGGGTTTTTATTAAATTATTTTTTAGCTTCCGTAAGCCTCCGTTATCTTGGATGGTTCCCCTCATCTTCAGACGGGTGTCATAGGCAGGGGAATCATCCTTTTCTAGTATTAATTGTTGAAAAAACTCTAGATGACTTATTTAGATTGGTTGCTTTAATTTTTGACATTTAAGATTAAAAGGATTCTTTCTCTCAATTACTAAAGTTTCTTTGAGGTCAAAAAATTAGAAGTTTTAAGTTCAAGTTTGATTAGTAATTTGAAATTCAAATTTCATTTTTGCCTCCAAAGAACCCAGTGTTAACATATATCAAATAGGATGGGATAGGATAGGGTGGGATGGTTGAGTAGGGAGGGTAGCACGTTTTGTCTACCTGTTTTTGTCATTTTGAAATCACCTATCCAGCATCATCTTCATTTGGAAGTGTGTCAGGCCAGTGGCCATGGCAACTGTGTGAGCATAATGTTATGTTTAAGGACAAAGTTTGCTGAACTGCTTTTTCTACTTACTTTTGCTCTCCAGATACATTCTAGAGATGAAGCTATTAAGCATATAGAAACTCAAATGAGGTAGCTCAGTTCTAGCCATTTCACTAAATTAATCATTCAACAGGTATCCTTACCTTGAAGAGTAGTCCGGGGTTCAGATTAGTAACCTGAAGTGATTGGTGCAATTCTAAATATAAGTATATAAAATAGCTTCTTGCTTTCTAATTTGTTTAGCATTTTCAGGTATGTGTTACAACAAATGACTTTGCATGGATAAGCTACTCTGTATATGAAAATATTCAAAGCATTTTTCTTGTTACCATTCTGGGAAATCTGGTTAGCTGCTGTGCTCTGTAGTTGGAAATGCAGAAAAATGTACCAGGAATTTTTGGTGTGTGATCAAAAAGTTCTGGGACTTCTGGTTTTAATCAGAATCAGATTTGTGAATATGGAGTTGGTGTGCATTTAATGAATGAAGTCAGTCCTTCTTTATTGAGATTTGCTTTTATTGATCATGGTCTTTATGGATTTGTGATACAGTCACACAGTACTTTGTGCCTGCATGTGTTGGAGACGTCACTGTGTATGGCTCTGAAACATTTCTCACATCCTAAATGAAGTGAAGGAAATGTTTTTAATGTGGTTTAATGCAAATGATTGAGAAGTAAGAACCCATGATAATTAATCAGCACCATATGGACTTGATCAGGCAAAGAAGGACATTTACTGACTTAATAAAAAATTATGCCAGAGTCTGTCATTGCATCACTTTTCATTTGTAGCCTGTTAATGGAAAGATACCTGGACTTCTTGGTGCTCTTAAGTAGGGAGTTGTCCTGCATGGTAAAGGTGGGGTGGAGGCTTCTGTTTTGGAGGAATAACAAGCTACCATAAGGTGTTTAATTTAAATCTGATTTAATAAAATCTGCTAAATTTATGAAAGACTTAATAACTTTTTTTTTTTAAGGTGAATGTGCCTCACTGTATCTGGATTTCAAACAAATTGCCCCTGCATTAGGAATATTACTGTTATCTGTAATTTTAAATTTGAAAGCCAGATCTTATTAAGAATTATGTTTTTTATCTTGATCAATGTGTGATATAATATCATTATGTCTGTGCCAAATTTTAATCTGTTTTTGCACGCTTTTTTAAATTGAATGCTTAAGTATAATTAAAATATCTTATATGAGCTTATCAAGGAAAGAGGATAATGTAATGAGTTGTAATAGTGGATTTAAACCAGTTCTAATTGATTTCACATGTTATGCCATGCCACTGAATGGCTTGTATCACAAACTCATATATGGTTTTTGGGATTTGTGTTCTCTGTATGTCGCTGAAGTTTGTACTGTCAGACTCTACCTGACAAACATTTTCTTCCCTGATTTCCAGAACAGAATATACAACTTCTGTGTAGCTGTTGTTCTTTCAGTACACTGACACTTAACTCCAGTACACCTGAGCTTTAAAACAGGAATGATGGAGTAGAGAAATGATGATTGTGATGAAGTGAGGAAGTGGTTGCTGTGTTGATAGGCAATGGGTGCAGAGATGGAGACAGCCAGGACCTCATAAACAACAAAAGAGGGCAGGGAGGAGCCACCCAGAGTTATGCACATTGAATAAGGATGTGATTGAGAGAAGAGCATTTAGGGAAAGCTCTCATACTTTTTCTGGGAAATCAGCACAAGTGTGTGGCTCTCTGGATGGCCTGTGCTCTAAAGCATGGGGAACAAGCAAGAGGAATTAGAGGTTTGTTGTACAGCTACAGGGCTATGGTCTCATCATGATTACAGAGAAGTGGTGGAATAGCTCATATTACTGGAGTGCTGCAATCCATGGAAGCACAGGGCAGGATAGCAAGCCATTTCTGTAAGAGAGCAGAATATGAAAGGAGCTCTGCCTAGAGATGGGTGATGAACCAGCTGAGAGTTTATAGGTCAGGATTAGAGGCCCAACCAATGCCATGATATTGTGGGTGTCTGCTATGGACTTCTTGATCAGGAAGAATTAGATGAAGCCTTCTTCCAGTTGTAGGTTCTGGTTTTCATGGAGAACATAAATCATCCTGGTTTCTGCTGGTTGAGCAATGCAGTAGGGCACAAGTAATCCAGGAGGTTTCTGTAGTACACTGATGACCAAAGCGAAAGTCTGAAGCAAGGACTCAGCAGAGAATGATCAGATCAAGGAACATTTAAATAAACTGGACATGTAAAACTTATTGACATGTGATGAGGTGTACCCATGAATACTAAATGAGCTGGTTTTGACTGATGGCATTGCAAAGCCAGTCAATAA